AGGATTAAATATTATCCTAGAAGACTTGAAGATCAAGTGAGATAAACCAATGAGACTCTATTGTGATAATAAGTTTGCAATAAGCATTGCACACAATCCTGTGTAACATGATAGAACAAAATATATTGAAGTAGACCGACATTTCATTAAGGTAGACAATGGGTTGATTTGCACACCTTATGTATCAACTAAAAGTCAACTTGCAGATATGTTGACTAAAGGTCTTAGCAGTGCAACATTTCAAAATTATTTTCAAGCTGGGAATGAAAAACACCTATTCACTAGCATGAGAGAAAGTGTGAAAAAATATTTATTTACAGCTAGTTGTAATCTTGTAATCTGTATATTTATATTTTTATCTCTAGAATTAAGTATTTATATCCCTAGAATTAAGGATAAAAAATAAAAAAATTAGGATAGACAATTCTTCAATTATAAGATCATTTTTTAGGAAGATTTAGTTTTTTAGTTTAACCCCTAGTTAGTTATATATAAACCTAAAGTGTTGGTATAATTCTTAATGAGCAGTTTTTAATATACATTCAATTTTTTCTCTTAATTTTTCACACAGTTTTATTTCTTAATTTTTTCATAAAAATAATGCTTCTAATTTGTATATTTCATAAATAATTAAGCAAGGCTTAAGATCAAACTTCAGAATCCAATCTTTCTATACCATAATTCTTGGCATTTATCACCGAATTGATATATATTTTGAAGAAAATCATGGGTGTCGGTCATTAGGGTCATTATCCAATATTGTAACTTAATGATTTTTAAAATAAAATAAAGACGAATTTTAGGTGCAACTAGTTCTTTAATTTATACAACTTTCACGAACATTCATCATTAATTATTATAAATTTGACAATTACGTAGATATATGACCCTTAAATCACTCCACAAATCTAGCTCAAAGTTTATGATCTTTTTACGCTAATTGTATAGTTTCTAACACAAATTTTCTTTAAATTTAAATTTAAATTTAATTGATTCATACCAAAAAAAAATCCCAAATCTTCTTTATATTTTTTGTAGTGAAATTTTGACAGAAAATTTCCATTTCCTATTGCCTCGAAATTTCAGTTTGTTTAAACTATTAATAAGAATGTTTCCTGTCAACCACATGGCTTAAGACTCAAACCCTTGTTTTAACTTCAAAAAAAAAGTTCAGTTCACATCTTATCCTAATGTCTTTTACAAGAATTTGATTCAAACATTTGACTACTGAACCAAATTTAGAGAAGTAATCTATTGATGGTCTGAAAGGAATTTGGTTGCAAATCATTGTCAATGTCGCTAAACGAATCAATCAAACTATTAGGAAAGGAAAAAAAATGTTATTCAATATATTTTGATTATTAAAAGAAATAATTATTTTTGTGATAACTAAACAGGGCAAGGAAGACAAGTTTAATAACGAATAGTTGCAGTTGTCATCTTTCAAGACATGCACCCCAGCATGTCGTGACTCAATGTTCTTCCTGTTCACGGAATGTTTCTATAAAGTTATATACCAGCTTTCCACTTATAATCTGATAGGATGCCTTTGTTAAGTCAAAAGGTCTCCGTCTAATTATATCAATGGAAGTAAAATTCAATAATCAATCAAGTATATAAGAGAAAGTAAGTTAATGTGATTTAATCCAATTGATTTACGTTCACATATGAAAAAAAAAGATTCACTAATTATAAAAAATTACAAATATTTAATCAAATCAAACACTCGTAGTCAATACTCATAAATTCTTTACATCTTTTTTAATTTTATAGAATATTCTCGACTTTTAATCCATCAAATAATATCTAACTAATCTTAAACCAATCTATTATGAGATTTGAGTTATTATTTCAAACTCAAACTTGGAGCTGTAATCTTTTTTTTTCATTTTTACAATTTATTTTTCCCCAAAGACAGAGGGGATGAAGTATATAAATATGAAATTAAAAGTACTTTTTCCCAATGGGCATTTAGCCATTAGGCTTGGTAATGGTGACTTAATTTATTCACTATACATGAAAATGGTGGTCACTAGTTTGCCCTTATTTTTGTTAGAGAAAAATCCAACCCTTAATTAAAGCAAAAACAAGTTTTTTTATCATCAAAGTAGTGTATGTACCATGCTTGACTCACGTGTTTACTATAATGACACAAGACAAATCCATGATCTTGGAGATCTAAAACAGGACTTCTCAATGAGAAAAATCAAATAAAAATTGGCACCAACATGATTGATGATGAGAAAAATAATTCTTAAGACAAAGCCATCGAGTTTATAACAATATATATATATATATATAAAGCATCAAATTACATCGATATAAAATTTATTAGTATTACACATTTTCATAATATTTTATAAAAATATTATTTCAAAAAATCAACCGTTAAATTAAGAACTCCTTATTCCATAATATATATTTAACTATTAAAATTTTATTGTCGTCCAAATATAACTGTGTACTTTTAATCAATTTACTGTCTGACATATATGATTTGGAATATGAAACCCAATTATTAGATTAACAAAATATAGATTCTATAAAAAGATATTAACGTGTATAAAACTTACATATTAATTTTACACACGTTTAAGTTCTCCTTTCATATACAAAATCAGTTCTTATGTTGTTCCTCAAGGGATTTGAGCCCACGTAAATTGCCATCGTCTGTTCTCCTTTGTTAGTGCTTCTATAAATGTGATCGCTGATAATTAAAGGTACACGTGAGGTAAGCAAAGGTGAAAGAGGAACTGGAACTTTTGTTAGGAATCTCCAAACCCGACCAGGCAAAAGAACAAAACCCATTACAACATCGATGCCCGGCCCAACCATTGATTATTAATACTTGATTCGTTCTTTTCAGAGGAGATTAGAGAAACAACAATGGAGATCAACTTAATCTCTGCACAAGGGCTTATAGAGCAATCACAATTATACCCCATCGTTACATGAAAACCTATGCTGTTGCTTGGGTTGATGTATTCACCAAGCTTCATACTGGAGTTGATAATGTTGTTGGCGTAAATCCAACCTGGAACGACAAGTTTCTGTTCAAACTTCACAGTTTCACCTCAGTTCCTTTTCAGCAAAACCTCTGCTGTCTCTGTTGGTATATTGCAAAATCTTGGTGTCGAGAAGATAATATTGATACATAAATATGTTTTCTTTGTGCTTTGAAACATTAGATCCTAATTGGGCGACTAACTAGAAATGAAAAATCAAAGAATTCACTTGTTTGGGATCTCCCATATCAGATCAGTCTCTTATTGATTATGCTTAATAATCTTGTGAAACTTGTTAGGCTACCTGCCATGAATCAAGGTTTCTTTCCTTCCATTACTTTCATCTATGTTCTATGGCAACAGAAGTTTAGAAAGCGAGCTGAGTACGATAAAGGCAAAGTTTGGTACTAATTAATAATTGTCCTTGAAGTTGGATGTATGCTTTCCATCTTCAATCAAAGTCAGAAGACTCGTGACAATCATAAACGCAAAAGGAGAAAAGTTGGGAAAAGATATAGGACTTGGAAACTTCATGAAAGCCAAGCATTTTGGTTTGTCTAACTTCTTTGGTCTATATATATAATTGTTTCATTTCCGTCTAACATCACAGAAGAAGAAGTCAACTGCAAAGAAAATGTTGGTCTCTAAGTGGAATGACAGCTCTTTTGCATAGGGATAAAGACACCAAGTTTTTCGTTTCTTTTCTTTCCTTTTCTTTGTTCATTGTTATTATAATCCCTAGTGCATCTACATTGGGGATAATGTTGTCTTTTGCCCAGTCGCAGGCCATGTTCTTGGCGACATGATTGATTACTTTTGTGGAACACAATTTGTTGAGTAAACATAAGATTTCTGTAGATGCAGAGTCAAATCAATACAGCTTCTAAGCTAAGATAACCAAGAAGCTGTGTAGACGGAAAGAATACGGAAGGCTACCACACCAACAATACTATATTGAACTGATAAACAAATTAGGAACTTATCCAATCATTCTAGAACCCTTGCTTTTCCCATCTTGTAAGTGTCGATCAAACTTTTTTTCTTCTAGTTTGGAGAACATGTTGATCAAATTTTGTCAACTCTCAGTTAATTTCTTGCTAGCTGGTTTTGAGTGGCTAATAAAATCTTGGTTGGCTCTTTATTCAGATTACATTTCTAGATTATCATTATTATAACTTAAATTGTAAGTTACCCATCAAGTAATAGTTTAGTTAATATTTATATTGAACTGAATTCTGAAACTTATCAGATTAAGAATTCAAACACGTAATGTTTTTATGTGAATTAGAATTTGACAGCTTTAGGCTTTACCTTAATTAGCTTTTGACAAATTATCCAGGAAGCCTAAGAAACTTCAATAGAATTTGAACCTAAAAGGAAAGAGTTTGGCAGGTTACAGATTAGCGCGAGAAGCAAAAAAAAAAAAAAAACCACCAAAAGAAACAGCTCACTGATCGAGATGCTGCTAATATTAAGATTATGGCTGATGTAAACGTCAGAATCGGTAGCTTTGAAGCAACTACATTATTCCAATATGTAAACAAAATGTTCATATAATAAAAAATAACATATGATAATGGAAATTTGCTGTCGTGGCTGGCACTTTTGCTTCAAAAATGTAACCATTAAATTAAGCTAACAATGACTGAGTTTCTCTTCATCGTGGAGCTCTCATGTCCCTCCATCAATAAAATATGCAAAAACCAACGAACAATATAACGCCACGTAACCCCGACGTGACCAACCGAGAAACAATTAAACTTTGATTAAAATAGTTAATCGTTTCTTGTTAGGTGCCCCACCACGTGGCGAGCAACCAGACCAGCTTTTCTAAACGAGGAAAGTTAAAGAAAGCCATCTCACTAGCTTCCAGAAAGTTCCATGCGCAAACAGAATAATCCAAACACGCGGTGCCGATTGTGCCACGTGTTGGCTCAATGACTTGGCATCCAACGTGGCATCCGCTAATAACTTCCCCGCATATGATACGGCCCCGTAAAGATAGTCGGTTAAGATTCTCATAATCCTGCGTTTTCTCTTGCTTCTCTTCCAGGAAAACGGATCAGAAAAATTTTCTCATTTTAAAAAGGAAAAAAGAAAAAAGGGAAATTATTTCTTTAAAATTTGTTAGGAAATGAATGGAAATGAAAGAGATGAGGTGAAGATGGAGGAATGTAAAGCAATGGTGGTTTTTATGTGGGGATATTTACCTGGAGCTTCGCCGGAGAAATCTCCAATGTTGTCTCCGGTTCCCGTCCGATTACCTGCTTCTATTCAAGGTGGAGCTTCGTCGTGGAAAGACGTCTGTGGTGGTGGTTGTGGATTTGCTATGGCCATTGCAGGTTAAACTTTTTCCACAATTTGCTAAAGATTTTTTTTTTTTTTGGGTTAAATTTTCAAGTTAAGATTTTGATTATGGATTTGACGATTTTTTGCATTTAATTTATTAATTAAGTGAGTTCACGTTGAAATTTGAACTAAATTACTTCACAATTAGACCAAGTTTCTGATGAATAAAGAAAATTTTTTGAAGAAAGGATTTAACTTTAACTGAAAAATGGCTGATTTAGTTTCGTTTTTGGTGTTTGGAAATATAGATTGTGAGAAGCTGATAACATGGGGTTCAGCAGATGACGAAGGGCAAAGCTACTTGACATCAGGGAAGCATGGGGTAAATGAATTGACCCTCTAATTTATTGAGTTAAACTTGAATTGATTAAGGGTTTAGTTTTCTCTGAATTGATTAAAAGCAATATATTCCTTTTGGGGCACATTTTTTGTATTTTTAAGCAAACGCCAGAGTCATTTCCTCTTCCAACTGAAGCTTCAATAGTGAAGGCAGCTGCTGGCTGGGCTCATTGTGTTTCAGTAACAGGTAATTATTTTTTTATTTCCTATTTTTCTTTGGCTTGTTAGAATTTCAATTAGCTTATATAAAGTATTTGTAAATAAAATTCTTTGAGGTACGAAGAAAACAAGAACACAAGTTATGTTTACTGGTTGAGAGATGAAGATTCTGAAAGTTATTTGGGAAATGCCGATGACCTTTGTTCTTGCATCAAGGCGATATAGGTAATATCATAGAAATAGTTGTTGATTCTTCCGATTGACAGAAAATGTGATAGAATGGAAGTTCTTCAGTGTTTATATAGTCTCCTTGATAAGGGGACTTGCCTCTTTAATTAAGTTATGTATGTTGTTTAAAACGATAGTTTGGTAGTTTTATTTCTCCATGGCTGCAGGCTTTGTCTGAATGCCTCTTAACATGAAAAAGGGTTCGTTATACTTTTTTTTAGTTGAAATTATGTTCCATCTAAACAGGATCTGAATGGGCTTTTCAAATTTTCAATGTGCAGATTCAGGAGAAGTGTACACATGGGGCTGGAAAGAGTGCGTACCCTCTGGGAAAGTCACCCGTGATTTGATTACCGGAGGAAGCTTTCAAAAGGATGTTGTTGGAAAACAGAGTACTTTTCAACCTGAGCAAGGTGATTTCACTGAAGCCTATATGTCTCTATGATAACAAAATTGTTGACCATTTCTATTTTTCAAACTAATGTTATGGATGTTGAATCTCTTACAGTGAGTCCAAAGTCTCGAGGCGCAAGTGTAAGTAGTGGAACAGCTTCTCAAACAGAGAACCGAAAAGCAGGGGAGGAAATAGCAAAGCGAAGAAGAATATCTGCAGTCAAAGAAGAACATGAGAGCTTAGCTTCTGGAGATGAATTTTTCACATTGTCTCCCTGTCTTGTGACTCTTGGTTCAGGAGTAAGGATCACAAGTGTTGCTGCGGGTGGGCGCCACACTTTAGCACTATCAGGTAAATAAACTACATCTTGGGTTGCCAGCCTGGAGAGTTGTATTTTCAGGTGAAAAAGTCTCTCTTGTCGTCACATCATATGGTTTTGTTGGTTGTATGAAGTACAAAGATATGGACGACTTTTGATCTAAATCAAGACACCTGATGCATCATATTTTTACTGGGGTTTCAGATATGGGGCAGGTATGGGGTTGGGGCTATGGAGGCGAAGGACAGCTAGGCCTGGGCTCCCGAATAAAAACGTTGTCTTCTCCGCACCTCATACTATGCGTTGAGCAAACTACTTCTGAAAAAGATAGTTCTCTAGCAGTTCTTCAAGGAAGCTTGAATTCACAAACACAACTTTCTCAAGTGGCTGGAAGCTATGTGAAGGAAATCGCATGTGGAGGTCGGCATAGTGCAGTAATAACAGGTCAGCATTTGGTGGTAGACTATTATTTTTATACTGCTAGAAAGGACTTTCGGTTTTCTTTGTAAATTAAACATACTGGTTTAGTTTGCTATTATTTTGCAGTTATAGTTCAACAGTGGCTATGAACTTCATCAAGATGATTCTAGCTTATATTTCTTTGACATGGATCTCCTTAGGTTGATTCTGGTTTCAAGTTGATTACAAAGTTTTTCAGTTGCATTCTTGGCTTTTTTTCCTGATATTAGATAAATATTTTAAATACCATTGATATGTTCTGACATTCTTATTCCCTTTATCACTTTTTTTTTACTGTAGATGCTGGAGCTCTCCTTACCTTTGGCTGGGGACTACATGGACAGGTTAATATTTTGAATGTGAATCTATTGCTTTTGTTGTTGGTTAGTGAAATGATGCATAAAATGTAGCACTTTCTGAAATTTGCACCAACTTACATATATATATATATATAAGGAGTTACTAAAACAATGTTTATTGGCACTTTATCTTATATGTTAAGGCATATACGGCCCTCGTTCTGACCAAGCTAACCCTCAATGCTTTACATATTATAGTTTGTTCATTTTGCTTGTGAAACTAAAGTTATTCTTGCACTTCTATCCAGTGTGGCCAAGGAAGCACAAATGATCTTCTGAGACCAACTTGCGTTTCTTCTTTGTCGGGTATTCAAGTTCTAGGAGTTGCAGCTGGGCTATGGCATACTGTGTGCATAGCTGTTGATGGCCAGGTATATGCCTTCGGTGGAAATCAGTTTGGACAGCTGGGTACTGGTGCTGAGCAGGCTGAGGTACATTTAAATGCTGTTATTTATTTCGCTTTAGTAATCTACTCCAGCAAAGGATAAGGAAGCATGAAGTATATATATCACCATTGCCAAGACGCTAGAATAAGCAGTCCCATATTTTCTTTGGAGCTTGGACGATACAGAAACTAAACCTAGGAGTTGATCGCCAACTGCTACTTAAGTTATTGACTAGATTGAAATGACCATTCAAGCTGCTTCATTCTTTTTCAGTTTTATTATAAGAATTAAGCTCGTTATCCATGTCTTTGTCAATGTGCATGGAAAAGATTCAAGAAATTTTAAAGGTATCTAGAGAAGTTCCAGAAACTAATAGTCATTTCCGTGTCTGCTTCAGACATCACCAAAGCAATTGGATGCAGCAAGTTTGGAGGGCAAGCACGCAAAGATGGTTTCATGTGGGGCCCGTCACAGTGCTATACTTACAGGTATGACTATGATTACACAAGCACTATAGGAATCATCCATAAGAAAGAAGAGATAGGCAAGAGAACCAGCTTTTGGTTTATTTCAGCTGGTTTTTTATAAGTTACTATACATTAGGGGCGTAGAATTTTGTGGACAGGCTTCAATAGTTACAGACCAGAAGAATTAAAACAACATATAAGGGGCTTAGAACTTGTCCAAGGGCATCTATGCTGTTGGTACAGAACAAGATCTATTCATATTGCTAGTTTTCTTAAACCAACAGAGGAAGGATTAAGAATTATACAATTTAACTGCTTTTCTCAAGTTTTAGCCTAAGATTGCTTATGGTTTTTCTTGCAAGATGATGGCCAAGTACTTAGCTGGGGTTGGAATAAGTATGGCCAGGTAATGTTAATCACCCACTCTACTTAGCTACTGGACATATCTCATCTACACAAACATCAAGTTCATTCTCTTGCTTGTCTGCTTGCAGCTTGGTCTGGGTGATACAATGGACCGTAACATTCCTGCCCAGGTTGCTATAGATGGTTGCCTACCAAAAAATGTTGCTTGTGGTTGGTGGCACACGCTATTGCTGGCAGAAACACCAACTTGAGCCCCAAATTCTTGACAAGATCCAAGAGGAACAGTTTTGGTAGGATAGAAATGTACCGACTCGTCAACGTTCTTTGGAGGATTCATCTCTCAGTGTATGAATGTGTATAAAGGTTGCTGTTTGCACATCCTTTCAAGCATATCAGGAGTTAGTTTGTCTTTAACAGCAGATTGCAGTGCAGTGCCAACTGCATTAGCTTATACACAAACAATAAATATTGTACTGATACATTAGATAATTAGTAGGTTTGTCATTCCTTTGCCTGGTAATGCAATGATATATGGACAAATATGAGTAGGTTTTTCATTATTAAGTCTTGCTAGAAATAGGATTCCTTTGACGCTGTAAAAGCTGCATCAGAGGCCAGAAAATATCCAGTCTGTGAAAGCCCCTAGAAGCCTGCAATATATTGTAATTAAGTCTCAGAGATTGGACACCGTAAATATTGATGTCGTCAAAACACATACTGGAAAGCTATTCGTTACCTCAACAATGAAATGAGCCCATGTACTGTTTGAACAGCTCTCCATCACACCCTTCAAGATTGTTAAATTAAAACTTCGGATCACCTGAGCAATCTCTAGAAACAGACCATGCTCATTGCAAAGCATCTGCAGTGGATGCAGTTTAGCAATTAATTTGAAAATCTAGTATAAACATTTAAAAATGTTTTTTTTTTTTTTTTAATTTCTCTTTGTGCAGTTACTTGAAATATTCATACACAGAACAAACCTCTATGAGTAAGTGGCCCGGGTATGAAAGATCTTCCACGACAATGGGGCATACTTTCTGTTCATCTCCAATCTCAAAAGCCCAGCTTGTTCCATATTGGTAAACTTCTTTGATTTCAGATGATCTCACATTTTTTCGATCAGTCACCTGTGGATTTGAAGTTCCGACTGCCTTTAAGCTTTATTATGGCACAATAAAATCATGGTAGAAATTTACATACATAGCTAATCTTCGCATCTTCACTAAGGTTCTTGAACTCAAACCAAAATCCAGAGTTCCAGCTATGCTGTCCTCTAGTCAGAGCTCAAGCACATCTAACTAAGGCTTGCGTTTTGAAAATTATTGTAGTTATTTTGAGGATAGGCTAATTGGTAAAACGTGGAATACATTTTGACTTTCAATAGGTAAATGAAAAAAAAAAAAAAGATAAAAAGAAAAGATATTTGGTAAGGACATGGGAAAAGGATAATTTTTGCAAATTTTAACTGATGCAACTGTTAAAATTTAAATCTTACTAAAATGACATGGTCTTCACATACCTCTCGATGCACCCATTGCCTCAATTTCTCAGCTTGGTTTGTCACACTCCTCAAATACAGCATGTGTTTAATGGTTTGATCTAAGAGAGCATCAATGCTATACTGAATTTGTCAGAAAATTACATCGATTACTTTGACAAGCATATGGGGAACAATATATACACAAACAGATACTAACTTGAGGAATTACTGACCTTAGCACCACGTGGAACAAGTTCTCGCAACTCCTTAAGCCGATCCTGGATCATCTGTCTATCCCTTGGCCGTGGCCTTGGGTGATCACCAGGTCTAGCCTTTCTTTTGGTGATGCTGGACTGCTTTTTTCCTTTCCTGGATTGTGCGTAATAGCACTCTTTTCCTGGATTCTCATTATCAGTTAACATGCTTACTGTACTCCTAAAAGAGTCTGAAATTTTAGAACTGGAATTATTTTTGGCCCTGCCAGCAAATGCAGAAGCAAGTCTGCTAAAGGAAGTTGAATCATCCTTTACACTTTGAGGTTGAGAAGAAACAGGAAGTTGTCCGGTAGAAGTCATGACATGATTGGATCTATTAGTAATATCATCAGAACCATCACATACATGGCCGACCACAGCTTGCAACAGATACTCTGCATCACCTACTTTGGCAGACAATGGGGGCTCAATACCATCAAAGAGATCACTAAATACCTCCTCACTCAAAAAAGATGACTCCCACAAATATTCACTGCTCTGTCCTTGAGAAGCCGGTCCAAGAGCTTTATGCAATTCACAATCTTTGGGGAAGCTAAGGAAACCAGCATCATCAATATTATAGTCTCCGAAAGGTGGTACCAGACAATTTCTGGCAGGGCAAGGATTTGTAACTCCATCTAAGATTTCTCCACATTCAGGATATGCTTGCAATTCCTCCTTAAGACAAGACAAACCAAACAGTTCACTCTCCCCCATTGCTAGCTGGTTGGAACTTAGAGATGGTCTTAGTGGTGATGACACTTCATTGAGGCTAACTGGTGGGACAATGCTCTTATTTTTGCTTTCACTTTCAAGAACCCCAGGCAGATCTATTCCAGGAACCGGAAACGCATTCTGAATACTTAAAAGTGGTACGATCTGATCTAAAGCTAACAACTTATTGGGCTTGACACTGTCAACAGCATTTGAATCTTCAGAGTTCAGTGGGCTAATGGATGCACTTGAAGACTCTTCTAACTTCTCCAAAAGACTTGATATTAGAAATGATGGAAACTGTGCATGAATGTTCTTGCAGGCAAATCTATCTTTGATATACGCAGGAATGGACAAATCTTCAACAACCTGTTGATGTACAGGGAAATAAATGGAAGAACATAAAATACATTTTTGACAAGAGCACCACTTACATAACTGCAATGCAATTATCCATCAATTAGTTAAAGTAAGAACAATCACACATACTTACATGAAGACATGTATGGTTGTATACACAAAAATAGAGGATCTAATATGGAGCAGAATACAGATTGTTGGTGGGTGGTTGCAGTGAGGAAAATAAGTTATTTCCTTTCCAGGCACAGCATATCTAAGTACCTATTCAGACCATAATGCTATTATATAGCCAATAAGACAAATTTAGAACAAATAAATACCATCTCCAATGAACCAAGTTGCAGAACTCCATGTGGAAGCACAGGTACCAGTACAATAGTCTGCAGGAGCATCACAAATAATCAACTTATCATCCATTTTAAAGATCTAAAATGGAACAGCTAACTTCAGCATCAAGTCTGCGCCAATCAAAGACTAGCAAACGTGTGTACCAGTGTGCACATGGAAGCATGTACCTGGAGTAACTAAAATATTGATGTAGACTTGCTACTAAGGTGCAATGCAGGATTATATTACCTTGATTCCTGATGCAAACTGAAGTAGCCATTCCTCTGGACACTAGCAATTGAAAAATAACACTTGTAAGTCGTAGTGTATGTTATCCAACATTTACAGAATTGTAAACATCTTATATGTATCACATATCATTAATAGAAACTTACCTCAGGAACTAACTTCGAGTTAGCTTTGCCAGTGAAAATATCATCACAGGAAACCCAGTAATGCTTCCCTGTATGTGCCACTTTACCAACAACCCTGAAAAATGTAGAGATCCAAAGTCACTAGTAGATTCAATCACCAAAGAACCAACTTGTTAAGAGTACAGTTTGGCTGGGAACATCTTTCCCAGCAACAGCGAGAGAGGTGCAGGCAGATGGTGGTGCGTGGAATAATAAATTTAGGATAATGGTAGCATGAGAGGCGGAGGCCCTACGTAATTAATTTCTTGAGGTTTAAACAACGGACACTTTAATATTGGAAAGCAAAAAATGTTATTGTATCAGAAGAAACTAGTCATAACAATAAAAGTTAAGATCAACATTTTACCCCTCTCCCCATCCATACTTGAGATGTGACATATTTGTCACCGCCAAGCCAATTGGGTATCCTCCAAGACAACCGGCATCTATGCTCATTTCAAAGTGTGATGGGATAATCTCACTGTTAGAATAAACATCACTGGAGATACTTTCCACAGATTCTCTTGGTATTGGATAAACACAGTACCAATCCTCCCAGGTCAAACTCCTGAAATCAACATGGGCAACTTATAAAACACGCAACCTACCAACAATAGAGGGAATTCTTATTTGGGGGGGGTCAATGTAACAAAAATAAGATTCATGACATATTTATTTCCTAGATTTCAACACGGCAGCCTATGATGTCAGGATTTTTTCAGTTAACACAAAATACTTTGACTCACTTCTACTCTTAATATTGCAAGATGATTCTATTTGCCAAACTAGAAACAATGGCAGATGGTGTTATAGAAACAACTGATAGTTAAATTTACAAAATAAGATCAGTATACACCTCATAGAACCATTGGAAAGTTGAACCACTTTCCTCTGTGGATGGTTTTGCTATTTAAAAAAAAAACAACTACAGTCCAGAGTCCACGCCTTTATTTTTTCTTTAATTACAGATGCACTATGAGCAACTGCTACGAGGAATGCTATTAGAGCTAATGTTGCCAAAAGTTTATTTGTTTAAGTTCATCTGTGAAAATTGTGTACAGGCGAGTTAACCAACATCCTCACAGAACAATGAAATTGATCATTTCCCATTAAAAATTGTACTCATAACAATGGTTTACGCCTAAAAGTAGTAGTATTTCAAAGAGATAAAGCCACCCCATCTACATCAAGACATTCCAACAGATGAAATTCAGCCACAACAAAGATTAGCACATGTTTTCTTATAAATAATGTCAAAAGAGAAACTTACATGGGGCTCCAGTGCCTAAGCTTCCAAAGCACAGCATATTTCCAAGGTGAATTGGTGCAAAAACTCTTCAATAACTGCTTTAAAGCAGTAGTCGCCATCTTTCTTCAACTTTTTTTTTCAACTAAAAGAAAAACACAGATTTTTGTTACACTATAAAACCAAATACTAACTATAGTCAAATTTAGCCTTCCTCTAGCTTCCAACGGTATGACCCTCGACCCGCCTGTTTTATTCTCAATCCTGCCCTTCGTTTTCTCGGTAGCCCATTTGAACAAACCAGCAAGAACCTCATCTTGCTAAAAGAAAAACACAAACACACACACACACAAAATACTTCTTTTCTCACCAATGAACAAGCAGTTTCTCTCACTACAAACAATTAAACAACATAAAACGACAAACCCATATCTATGTTTGCAATTCCAATGAACAGTCCGTTAACAAATCTAAACTTTCTAAGAAAAGTTGGAGCTTGAAAACTTAAAAATGGAAGATAAAACAAATATATAGGTTTGGGTATTTAGAAACGATGAAAAAGAGCGATCTTTGTGAAGAGGATAATCAAAGAAGAAAGAGATGTTCAAATTCGTTGGATTCCATGAATAAAACTCTCTTTTATCTTTACCACAGGGTGGTCTTAATCGAAACAGTAGAAACAAACACGAACAAAAAAAAGAAGGATCAAAGGTGACAGACGGAGTGGAAAATTAGCTTGTCCACTCTTTTTGAAGACGCACTGCACCGCACAGCTGCATTGCACTCCTGGTTTCTAAGCGGTTCTAACGTTCTGCTTTTTATAGATAGCTGTTGTCCCGCCGCCGGTGACCTGTCACATTGAAAAATGTTTTAAAAATAATCAGTAAATAAAACGGATTTCAAAGTTTTCCAAAGTCAGATTTTATAACTCCATTACTGCATTTCCGGGCCCACTTTTTTTTTTTTTTGCCATGACCCACAAAATTAATTCAATCAATAAAAATAAAAGGGGTTTCGCTTAAATTAAAATGATCTTAAAAAGTGAAATTTTAGAAATAATAACAAAATATCACTATTTTTTTTAAAATTGCAACTTACATTATGCTTTTATGATATGAGATTGAAATCAAACTAATCCATAGTAATCTTTAATTCTTAATTAATCTGTCTAAAAATATAATTAATAATTAATTGAAAATTATAAATTAGGATTTTAATGATAAAAATCATTTTTATATGAAAATATTAATTTTTAATCAAAAATTGATTTAAGTCTAGGTTTTAGATTGTCCATCAATTACATTTTTTTGGATAAATTATATAAAATCAACTTATAATTTGAGGTAGATTTAAAGTAACCTTTAAAGTTTAAAATTAATATTTAATTATTTTATAATTTATTTTATTAATTTTTTATTTTTTTATTATTATTATTTTCATCATTAATTCATTTTCTCTCTAAAACTAGACAAATAAAATTTTCCGTCTTGATATTGGTTTTAGGGTTGATGTTGGTCATATTGGTTTGAATTTGCTTTTCTATAATTAGTTGCTAAATATGAGTAAGATTGGGATCTGTCCATTTTTACAGTTTTGACAGCGTCTCTTTGATCTGCCGAAGCTCTTCCTCTGTTATCCCATGGCTTAATAGGCATCCAACCATCAAGCCATTATCTATTCGGGAAAGATGCACTAATTACGTTTCAAAGCAGCTTATTTTGTGTGTTATTGTCACGAGTCGAGACTTAAGCTCCGAACCCGCGCGGTTTCAAAATCCGGACATTCACCCTTCCGATATCTCAGATCAGCCTTCCGCCATGGTTCACATCCTTGTGAGGTATTATCCGCTCTGACCCCCTGACCTCACGGTTTTATCCTACAAAAGGTACCTCATAAGACGGAGATGGTGTGAACCTTTTTATACCCCAATGACCTTCTTATTATATTCGATATGGGATTCAGGACTCCCCTTAGGTCCGTGACATTCTTCCGCACCCAACCTCGTGACGCCCTCGTCACGGAGACTGATCACCCTGCCTACCTCCCTCGAGATGCTTGACGTGGATCAAACGGTTTATGGCTGGTTCTGATACCACTTGTCACGGGTTGAGACTTAAGCTCCAAACTTGCACGGCTCCGGGACCTGGGCATTCACCCTTCCGGTATCTCAGATCAGCCTTCCATCATGGTTCACACCCTTGTGAGGTATTGTCCACTCTGACCCCCTGGCCTCACGGTTTTGTCCTACAAAAGGTGCCTCACAAAGCATAAATGGTGTGAACCCTTTTATACCCCAGTGACCTTCTTATTATATTCGATGTGAGATTCATGACTCCCCTTTAGGTCCGTGACATTCTCTCGCACCCAACCTCGTGACGCCCTTGTCACGGAGGCTGGCCACCCTGCCTACCTCCCTCGAGGTGTTTGGCGTGGATCGAACGGGTTAGGGCTGGCTCTGATACCACTTGTCACGGGTCGAGACTTAAGCTCCTAACTCGCGTGACTCCGGGACCCGGACATTCACCTTTCCGGCATCTCAGATCAGTCTTTCGTCACGATTCACACCCTTGTGAGGTATTGTCTACTCTGGCCCCTCATGACCTCACGGTTTTGTCTTAAAAAAGGTGCCTCATAAGGCGAAGATAGTGTGAACCCTTTTATATCCAAGTGACCTTTTTATTATATTCGATGTGGCATTCAGGACTCCCCTTTAAGTCCGTGAAACATGACTTTGACTAAATAAAGGTTGTCAAAAAATTTATTAAAATTAATTATTAAATTAATATAATAAAATAAATAAAATATGTGATGTCACTTTAATTTTATTTTCTCGGCAATTTAATTACAGAGTAATAATCAATTATATTAACTGAAAGTTAGAAGCATCATTGGTAATCATCTTAGCCAAAAAAACTCGTAATGCATAAACTTTGATTAGGCTAATATGAATAATCTTTGGCCCTGAGCCGCCGGTCTTGACTTAATTGAATATACTATTTAATTAACAATTAAAGTAATTCATATTCAATCCATTTTTTCATAATATTAAAATGAAAAAATAATAGATGGAGTGTGGTGGAAAAACAGAGCTCTCTTTTGGAAGATTTAGCCATCACATACGTCGACAAACTCAAATGTATGTACAAACATGGCTTGTGACAAGCATAAAATGTGGTAGAAGAAAACGACCCACACCTCCTAAAACAATTAACTTGTATGATGAGTGAAAGCTATATCATCAAATGATTCATAAAAAATATATCGAAACTTAATTAGGTTCATTCATGTAATTATTCATTTAAATTAGTATAAGTGTTTTTATTATTATTATTGGATCAAAATAATTAAATTTAAAAAAAAAAAAATTTTGATCAATAAATATAATTTTTTCATCTTAATCTTTATATATATTATTTGTACTGAGTTTTGATCTGAAAGTATTATTAAAAAACAAGAAAGGAAAGAGAGCGATGAGTAGCAAACACAAAGAATATTTTTTGTATTTATATTTTGACAAGCAAATCAAAAATTGATGTGAAAGAGATCGAAATAAGAAAAAAGTAAGGATTTGAGAATAATATGAAATGAAATGATAATATTTGGATATTCATATTTATAGGCAAGATGCAAGAGATCTGTAGAGAACAAAAGTAATGTAGTTGAACAGATATGGCACTGGACATGCAAGATCGATCTAAATGTTTAAAATACTTTTGATTGTCTATCGGTAGCTTCTAATATGAGAAAAATGCTAAATTACTTTTTTTATCATCAAAATATTCCCGATCCATATCAAAATATAAAATATACAAGATAATATTATTTAATTGATAATATTTATAATATAATCATATCATCTTATTATAATTTTATACACCAAACATACAATTAATTTATAGTATAAATTCACGTTATAACACTTATGTTAATTTGATGAATTATAAAGATCAATGCAATAATAAACACTTTTAGTTTTCAAAACTTATCTTTAATCAAATGGCTTCATCAATCGTTCATATTTAATGCATCACCCAAAGTAAACAATATTTACATGATGAATTTGAGAAATTTGTCTTGTTAATAATGCTGATGTCAATAACAATACAACATGATTGGACCGACAAATTTGACTATTTATCTTTCTTATAGAGTAAAATAATTAAACACTTGATTAATATTTAATCTAATGTTTATTGTGGATGATGAACATTGAACCGTTTATTTATGAAGGCAATATTTTACCGATTAAATCCATCAAAAGAAACTGTTATCTGATGGAAGATAGGAACTTCCTGATGTAATTACCATGCAATTGGCATTTATAGGGATAATTAAAGAAACTGATGTAAAATAAAATTGATATAAGCATTTTACTTATAATTTTTTTAATCATAATAAAACATTATGTAAAATTTCATCATGTATAAATTTTATATAATTTTGAAATTTTACATAATTTTAAATTATAACAGACTCAAACTATCTTATAAAAGTATAAGCATCCTAATCAAAATGAAGAAAGTAAAGCATCAATGAATTAAGTCAAGAAATCGAAACAATAATACTTCTTAAGGCATCAAATGACCTAATGAAAGAGATGGATTTGGTTCATTCACTCTTGCAAGATTAATTAATATGTTATTAGTTTGCAGATAAGTGCTCATCGAGACAATAAAATTGTTGATAAGTGGTGGAGAATCACTGTGATTTCCTTATCAGAGAAGATAAAAGCTTCCATTTCAACAACTCTCCTAGCAGATGTATGGGTGAAAGCGACCTTTTGGACTTAGATACAATGCATATTTGCCCATTTCCAAAAAAAAAAAAAAAGGTGATTAAGAAACCCATGAGATTAAGAAAATTATATAATTAAAATGTGATGAACTTTGGTCAAATAGAAATGAATGAGAAAATTAGGTCACGTAATTTTCTAAATAAGCTAATTGGATGAAAACGTGAAGGCTTGAACCCAAACAAATTACAAAGAAATTACCTCACATGTGCCTTCAAATCATTAGGTATCAGTGAGCTAATTAAAACTCAGTTGACTTGAATCAAATTAATACTTAAAAGCATTAAAATTAGTTATTAGCAGTGCTATTTGTTAGAACGAAAGTATCATTCATCATTAATAGTTCTATTTATAAGTATTTTTTTTGGGGGATATATAAACAAGATAAGGAGATTTAATTTATAGGTTAAGTTGACATTTTTATTTTTAAACAAAATAAAATGATGAAGACATACTTAATTTCCATACCTTAATATAATATAAAAATTTAAAAGTAAAACATGATAGTGATATTAATAATAACTCGTAATAATAATGTGTAATAAAATTAAGTTGAAAGAAAAGTAACAACGACTTTTATTTTTAGTTTTATTTTAATCATTAAGTTATTGTAATTATACTTGTGAAGTTTAATTAGCATAATATTATAATATTACCAAAATTTTCCCATATATTTTATTGCAATTAGACACGTCAAAAAATTTTCTTTTCCAATAATAACTTTGTATTGGATATTTTGTGTTTGATAAGAGGCCTAGCAATTCCTGTAAGCTCAAGGAGTGGGCACCTGCCATGAGCTTTTGCTTTTCAGAAGACAAAAGCAACCAGAGTAAATGTTTTTGCCTACGTGAAAGCCTGACCCAACAACAAGTTACGTATATAGATTTAATGATGTTTGTCAAATCAAGAATCTCCTCAAATTTCAAGTGACAGAAGAAATTTATCTATGAAATGATATAGTTTCTCTTCTTTCCATTTATATATATAAAAAAAGAAACTAATCAGTTAGAAATACATTCTTCCGACAGCTCTTATATCCACCGAGTCAACTAGATGGTGCTTGTTGCTCAAATTTTTTGTTTGTGCTTTAAAATTTAGAGTGTGAACCATTAACAACGATCGCTTCAAGCAAAAGAGCTAGCTAGTTCAACGGAATTCATGGGATATTTGACACCATTGCAGCATGCACCATGCACCATGCACCATCATTCCAATATACATGAAACCCAAATCTCTCTAGTGTGTTTGATCATGCACCAAATAGAACTTAGTCGGGAATTGATTCCTGAAGATCATGAATCATGTTTTCCATGTAAAAGAGAAAGGAAAAGGTGGAAAGATGATCGATGGCCATAAGAACAAAGCGATGCCTATGAGTAAATTGAAGTCGTGAACGGGGACAGCTTTAGCAGAGGAGCGAAAAAGGTTGGCGATTACTAATTTGATTTACAAGAAAGGGAAAAACCAAGGCCCCGATTAGGAAAAAACTGGGACCCTCAAAGGGACAAGTGTTCGATGTGTGACGTACGGAAAGGGACCAGTTGTGATAGAAGGGACCAGTTGTGATAGAGAGGGGCTCTCTACTCAGAAAAAGATCTGGAGTGCAAATTAAGGCAACAGGCCAAAAGCAATTCACTGTACTACGTCATCAATCCAGACAACTTTTTTTTTCTTACAGAGAGGCGGTAAGGCCTCTCTCTTCTAAATGGAAATGAAACTCTGCTTTGAGCTTCTGGTGAAATGTTGATTTCATAGTTAATGAGAAAGTGTGCTCTGTTGAGAAAGCCTTGCCTTCTCTTTCTTCCTGTTTTTTGACATGAATCTTTTACCCTGCATTCTACAAAGGTTAGTGGGCTAAAAATGAAACTGCCAATGTCTGTAGTCTATAGATTCCATTAACAAATATTTGTTCACATTTTTTACGATTCAGCACCAAACTCAATTCCATTAACAAATGCAACAACCGGTAAGCAAATCACTGTTTGCCCCTGGGTTTGGGGTTTATGTTCAAAACTTAAATAATTCACAATTGCTTTAAGTTGCATCCTGTGCCTTGTACCATTTTCTCCATTGTCCAGCTTTTGCAGCAAAACATCTTTATTCTCTTTACATAAAGGCCGCACGCATATTCCTTTTGGGACCATGCATCAGAAAAGAAAATAACTCCCCTGTTTTGGCAATGAAATCCATGAAATTCTTCACTTAAGTTCAACAGAAGATTGCATTTCATCTACGCAATTCCTTTAGAACAGGACAGTGAGCACGCGTGCATTCCAGGGAAAAGAAAAGGGTAGCCATCTGTCAGATGATGAAGTTAACTAGTTAAGGACAAAAATGAGTCATTAATTTATAAAAGATGGTTTCAACTTCATCTGGAATTTTCTGTTTCCCTGAAAATGAATTAGGTGGGTCATAAAAGTGCAGTTTCTTGCAACAGCGTTTGTGGGAGGCCACCAGTTTCTAAATCAAGATGTTCATAAGTGAAACAGGCTGCCTTGTTCATTAAAGTTTCTTCCCATAACAGTTGCATGGCATCAAGCTCTCATAAAAACACAATTATCAGATTACTTTTACAAATCCTGGGAAGCAGTTTGCAGCAGGAATTGATGATAACAGTAAAAATATAAGCCTTTGACCTCAAGCCCTCCATTTGTGGAATAAATTCAAGGCCAGAATCTCCTCTCTCTCTCTCCACTCTTTTTGTTTGTCCAGTTAATAGAATAATAAAAAAAAAAAGACAATTAAACAAGAGTAGATATCTCTCAAATCAATTATCATACGCAATTCCATATTGTGCGACATTAATAACATAATAATCAGAGAGGAATAAGAGGCATGCAAGTAACATCATTTAGTAATTGTAGGAAATTTTGCATTGAATCTGATCTTCCGATATGGAAAGCTTTAGATGAAAATTTTCGCATTGAATACCAGGCGACTTCTATTGAATTGACCCCCATCCAAAATTCCCAAATAAAAACCCACAGTTTGCAAGAATTTACAACGATTCCATCAGGCACATGTGTTTTACGTTTGACTAGCAGATCACAAGCCCACGGATCACTTTCAAATGTCATGAAAACATGGGCTGCTAGCCAATTCTGACAAGAGAAAAACATTGAAAATGGAAAAACATAACTGGTTAGGTATTAAATTATAGCTTGTCCTATCCAACACCATATTGAAAACCATTTGAAAAATGGGCTATCTTAATCTGGTAAGAAAGGAACTGTAAGGCGAGAATAGAACCATCTTATTGAGAAGAAGAAGAAGTTATCTGCTTAGAAAAAGCATATTAATTTAATCTTTTAATTTCTTAGTTTTCCGAGTTTGAAATTGAATTTAACCTCCTCTACACTGCCTATCAGCTTCAAGGACTTGATGAGATCTTCTAGATTTAGCTTTGGCGCAACTTGCCAAAGTAAACGTAATATACCCTGCAACTAGCTTACCTTTAATTTCTTTGACTAGTCTTAAAAACGAATCAAACCAATACCTTATCCCATTACTTAAGACTCAAGAATGTATAGCTTATTCCCCACAATTTGATTCATAACCAAAACTTGAAAGTGTACAATACAATTGAACTCACTTGAAGAAACTTCTTCTATTGCTTCTTTAGGATATAATTGACATTTCCATGTTACTTACTCCTCCTTATGAAGGTATATAATTATTATTTTTTAGGCAAAAATTCGAAAAAATATTCAAATAAAAATTCAATAATTGTTCAAATTTTTAATATTTTATTGCAATTATTAATCAATCAAATTTTAAATTTTTTTATTTTTGATAAGTTAATGTTTATTGGATAAGCATATAGAACGAACATATGCATCATGAAATTTCCTATATACGAATCTAGAAATAAGTTTCTATTACTGTTTCAGATATTTCAATAGTTTTATAATAAAACATGATGTGCCCAATTAAAGGCCGGCATATATCATCATATAAGATTATTAATTAAACTGATGAGGATGCATTTAATTTTAAATGACTTAAAATATTATTAATATAAAACACTTGTGATTAGAATATCCAGAAACTTTCGAATTAGAATCATATACTATTTAATTATTTGCGGTTATGATTTTCCAAACATTAAATTTGGATCTCCACAAAGATTATATAAATTGACTGAAATAAGCAAAAACAAATACAGCAGCAACGATTATGCATATAGCATTTGAAATTTCTTTTGTGCTTTGGGCCTTCGTGAATTAGCTAAGTTCAAATAGGGAAAATAATATTAAGCAAGACCGTGACAGTGTGACACAAGCTTTGCTCGCTCATCACCTAACCCTCCACAAAGTAGAGGGCGCACGCAGTTTTTGCTTTTGCTTGGGAGTTGGAATGATCATCGATCTCGTCTTTGAAGCAACATTTTTATTTATTGGATGAAGAAAACGACTTGCACAGGATTAATTTCCAACCATATGGTGATGCAAACAATGACTTCATTTACGACTGAGACAATGCAGTTGGTACGCAATTTTAAATTTTAATAAAGGAGGAGAATTAAAATTAACCTTGATGTCAAGTATTGTCATTTGTCAACCCTTTTTGTTTTTTGCTAGAGCTGAATTCGGTTTATATAATTTCACAGCATGTATCAGTCAAGAATTTCTTTTTACTTGGATTTAACCATATGATTTTGAAATAGTACAGCTAATTGAAATTGTTGACATGACAGATATGGATGAAGGTTTTTCAGCATTTCCTTATTTGGGTTTTACTCTTATATATCTATTATCTTTTATTTCCCTTCTAGATTTTTCTTTCGGAGTAATCAAAATTAAGATGGAGTTTTGAGAATGAGAGCTACAAATGGAAATATTCTTGATCTCATCCTTTGATTGAAAGATTATTTTTCTGACCATGGAATTCCTGTTTTGAAATCTGAATTGAGCCATCTACTTGATTTTTATTAGAAACCCTTTAAGAAGAGGTTGGTAAAAAGGAAAAAAAAAATATTTGTCAATGCTGACAAAAGTAGGTTCAAGACATAAGACATTGGCTTACAAGGGCCACCAATAGTTGACAAGTAGACGATGAAATTGCCTTACAGGGTATTATTTTCAAGGGAAAAAAATATTGAAAGTATATGAACAGCTGGAATGGAACCAAGGGAAAAAAATTCTAATATAATCAGGATGAATCACTAAAATCCTGGAATAAAGGATTTTGGACCGAACTTAACATTTTTATGTCGGACCTGTTCAATAGATGCAGGCCTTTAAAATAATCTAGAACATCTGATCTTGGTGTGATCTCTGGGATTCAATAGGATATGCTAAAGCAAGAAAATTTCCTAAACCATGGTACTCAGTAAACAAGTGGGCGCATGATGTATCACCAACTTTAATCAAATGTCTTACTCTAAAACCATGTCCAAACAAACAAACATTGTTAAGAGGAAAAAAACATGATGGAAACCAAAAATTTATTGAGAAAATCAATGAGTGGTTAGAAAGCTTATTAAAGAAATAAATATTAAATTATCACAAACTGCCCAATCATATTAGGGAAGCTGAGCCATGGCGTACCAAATCTTTGGAAAAGATTGATTTAAAAACAGAGAGATTATGCAAAGAGAAAATTGGTGACTTGAAGGAAAGTGCCAGCTTCTCTCTATATCTTTTTTTTTTTTTTAGTTTGGCTGTGGCTTTCAAAGGCTGTGTACTTGTTTCAAGACTTCGTGCGGATTTGAGTTTAGCGTGAATAGGTGGACTCATACCCATTACGCCACGTCAACACCCTTCCATTCTCTTTTAAAACCAAGCTCTCCCTCATTACCTTCAGTAAAATTCAGACCAAACCAAAGTCTCTCTGTCGATTTATTCCTTTCATACAAAGCAAAAAACGAAAATAAATGGAGGGTCTTATTCCTTTTGTTTACAGGGCTATAGTCCAATACAAGAATGGCAGAGAAGGTGTTTTAGAAACATGGTTCAATGAGACAGCCTCAGCTTCATACATGAGACTCCCAGCTGGAGATTCTGGTCGGTTTCAGATATCTGATAAACAGGTCTTTCAATCAGATTATGGGAATTTTTCATCACCATCTTCCATGGCTACTTCTTCTACTACTCAGATTATTTTATCAACCGGAGTTCAGTCTCCTGTCCGTCGTTTGACTTCTCGCCGCGTCATTACATGATGATCATCATCATCTGAAGGAAGCTGAAGGTGTGCCACTCTAGTCAAATTAGTGTATGGGTTCTAGAGTGTGGTAATTTCAATCATTCCTTAATGTTTTATTAGTTTGGGTTAATTAATTAATAAGCGTATGGAAAACCAAAGGGGGAAGCATACACTTAATTTGTGTTCCTTTTTCTTTCCAGTGTGAAAAAAGTGATGGGATGAACAAAGAGTTAAAGGCGTTGGGAGACCAAAGGGATCGCCCTATGCCTTTATATTGTTTTTGTTATTGTTGTTAAGCTTAGTGTAAATATACCTGATGTTCTTTATTAATGTTTCAAGGACAAAGGGCTTCTTGTTATGTTAATTGTGGAATCAAATGCAGCAAGAACGATCAGTTTGTGTTTGTGTTTTTCTTTCTTTAAATTGTTCTGGAAGTGGGATTGGTTTTGGAGTCAGTGAGTGCTTATTGTATCTTGATTTCATTTGTCAAATACCAGCAAGCTGCAATGGCAGATGTATTAATTGAATATGTTTTCTTATCATGCAAGACGGTAACACATAAGGGTTTCGATGGATGAATATTAAAAACTTTGATTGCCAAGCAATCTCAAAATTGAAATTCCAAAAAAAAAAAAAAAGAGAAATTTCATGGGAAAAGTACAAATAGTAATGATTTTACGAATCCGAATTAGATATCCATACAGCTTGCATGTGTTAATTCATTGACCAAATAAAGTATTAAACTAGATATAGATAAATGATAATTTTAATTAAATTTTATATTATGAAAATTCAAGTAAGGATAAATATTAGTAATTTGTTGATATTGGTGTGCACCAATTAATGTAAAAATTAACGCCACAGTTCAGTAGTCATTTTCTAAATATGGATAAGTTTTAGAAAAATACATTTAAAAATAATGTTTGAGAATGATATTTCACTTTCAATTAAATAACGTGAAAAATAACCTATTGGTTAGAATTTCATTTTCGACATTAATAAAATAGATATTTAATATCTAGAAGATAATAAACAATTACTTGAGAAAATTATAAATAGCCAACCATTTTATCGACTAGTTATGAAAGGAACCCTACACTAAATCCTTAATTGAACATAAATAAATGTTGTTTCATGGAACAAACAACAATTTGATATTGCTATTACAAAGCTATATATTTATGTTGGAAATAGTTTAACCCTTTAAGCTGTTTCAACTTTCAATTTTTTTTTCAATGTGGTTGATTGATAACAGAAGTTATATACGCAAGTTCCATGATTAAAGTATGCTAGAATTTTTCATTTTTATATAGTAATTTGTCCTCCATTTTATTTTGGTAAGGAGAAAATTTTTGTTTTATAAGTAAATTAGCATATGATTTGAGATAAATAAATTTAGTATATTTTGATTTAATCATTCGAATCGTTTAAATTCAAGTTTTTCAAATTTAAGTTAATCAATTTCGAGCCGTTCGATATATCAAGTTGAGTCCATTCATATGTAAATGGGGTGGGCTTTTTTTTTTTTTTTTTTTTTTTTTTTTTTATAAATTCGGAACAACTTTACAAGCTCCACTTAAAATCTAAAATCAATAATCTAAAATTAAATAGTTTTGTGATATTTTACAAATCCTTTGAATAGATTTTTAGTAACATTATATGTATAGTAATTTTTATATGCAAAATAAGTAACTTTAAATCAAATTATGAGACAGTGTTAGTTATTAAATCAAAATAAGCAACTTTTGATCATTTCATATTATGAGACAGTGTTAGTTATTAAACTTCAAATCAAATGTTAAAAGGTTTATTTTATGTTGAGAGACGGCTATCATCTTGTAATTTTTTCAAAGATTCTTTTAATATAAAGTAGTATATATAGATGATTGTTTTTCATAATTTTACTATAATTTTCTCAAAAAACATTTTATTATCCTATTGATATGCAGCTTAAATTAACATTTATAAATACTTATTTATTTTTTTCAACATTTTGCTTTTAATAACATAAGGATTTGTTTATTTCAATATGCATCCCACAATAAATCAAAATAAACATTTTGAGCAATTTAAAATATAAATTTTAGAGTAAAAAATAATAACTTTAAAAATTAAAGGTTATCAAGATAAATATTTAGTTATTTATTAGTAGAAATTATTTTTATTATATTATTATATTGTTTTTGTTTTTTTACATTGAAATTTTATTTAATAATAAACAAATTTTTATGTTGAAAAAAATTTTATAAATTTCTAGATTTTTTAAAAAAAATATTACATATTAATATTAATTAAAGGTAAAATGGATATTTCATGTTATGAGGACATGTGTTTGTCATTAAATTTCAAATCAAACGTTAAAATAATTATTTTATTAAAAAAGATAATTGTTATCATCTAATCTCTCAAAGGATTCTTTCAATCTAAAGTAATATATATGAGTTTTTACATAATTTTAATTTAGTTTTTTAAAAATATATTATATTATTCTCTTTAACAGGTGATTTAAATTAACATTTATAGAAAAATAAATATTTCTTTCAACATTTGCTTTTTAATAACATAAAAATTTATTTAAATTCAACACGCAACTCACAATAAATTAAATGATATTTTGATTAATTTTAAATATAAATTTTAAAAATAAAAAATAATAACATTAAAATTTTAATTAGTATTATAAATTTATTTTTAAATGAAAAGAATAAAAACACATAGTATATTTTGAATTATTAAAAATTTTATTCTTTTAAAAATATAACTTTTAAAATTATATAGTATTTTTAATTATTAAATTTCTTTTTATAAATAAATTTTAGTCGTGTTAAAAAAAAAAAAAAAACCTAAGTCGGTCAAAACGATCGTTCATCTTTTTTCGACAGGATTTTCATTCCTCAATCCTTAAAGATTTTAAGTTTAATACTTAAATATACTCTTAACTTTTTATACAAAATGAATTTAAATCCTATACAAAATAGATTTAATTCCTTAATATTTTAATTCATGAAAGTCAATTTATATTTTTTCTTTTATATAAATAAATCCATAAACTTTTAAATTAATGCAATACAATAAAATTTCGTTAAATTAGATTAATCACCATTAGTATTAGATATATGTCATCCAACGTGGATGATTATATGTAATTTTCCATGTACGTTGATAGATTACATGGTATTTTAACTGTAAGAAAAAATTGAAAAAAAAATGCTCTCATGACATTATTCAATTGGGATTAAGAGGTTTGGATGAAGGGATTTAGACGAAAATAGAAGACTCTTTCTGTGAATTTTAAGTGCCTGTGTTGAGTTTTTGGTGATTTATTGATTTATTTTTTTGGATATTTAGGATTTTGTTAATTTAAAGATTTCTCATGATTTTGTTAATTTAATTTTTGGATTTTAAATTTCAAAATTATATTGAGAATACAAAATATTATTTATCAGATTATTTTTAATTTTTTTTATTCAATATTTCATAAATTTTAATTGATGGCTATTTTTTTTGAATGAATAAGAGAAAATTAAAAACATAAAAAACGTGAACATAGTAATGTAAATGTTATGCTATAATAAAAACAAAGGTGGCATATCAAAGATGAAGTATAGTTTTATAGTTATATATAATTGTAATTTGATAATATGTACTAATTTATTTATATTGCTTTAGTTAATAAAACTAAGTATATTTATTGTTATTTTTTTTTTCTTTAGAAAAGAGATAAAAACATGGATAAGTATAAATTACTTTGAATTTTAATTTTCTCTTATTCATTCAAAAACAATACATTTTATTTGTTATCAATTAAATTTTAATTGATGGCTATTTTTTATTTTGGATTTTAGAATCCTAACCACAAACAAAGTTTTTTCAATTGCTTTAGAAAAAAGAAAATGTTACTATAACTAATTAATGATACAATTTAAGAAAAAAATAATTAATGCATTATTTTTAAAAATTTTAATGAAAACAATACATTTTATAAATTTAGATAATATTTTTATTATCTTTAATTAATATTTATAAACACTTATTAATCAAAATTTTAAAAATTAAAACAATCCAAAAGTTAATAATTTTATTATTGTACATTATTTTATAATTATATTCCAACAAAAAAGTTTAATTTAATACTATATTTCATTTTATAAAAAAATTATAATTGAAAAAAGAATATAATGAATCATTTTTTTATTCTTTGTCAATATTTAATGATTGTTAAGATTTTTTTATTAATTTTAATTATCTAAAAGATATATACATGTATATAAATATATATAAAACATTACGGACTTCTCGGCCCGTAAAAACCCTACTCTCCTTCCTACTTTTAAATCCCATTAAGGCAATATCCTACTTTATTCCCCACCTTTTCCTTTTTTTTTTATTCTTATAATGTTATTGATCAAAGTCCACGCTAATCTTCCCTTTTTCTTCTTAAAAGCTCTCTTTCTGGACTTCTCGGTAGCTGCGTAGGCGGTAGATGGGCTTTTGTGACGGTGAATTCTCATATGGTAACAAAGGAAAAGTCTATTTTGGAATGCTCGTCAGTTTTCTTCTTTTGTTTGACTAAAACGACGTAACTTTTGTTTTTGAGTTTGGGTTGATTTTTTTTAGGTGTTTGTACCTCCACATCCATTGTTTAAGCACTGGATTTTGGTTTTGAGAAACGAGCTAAATCGTTGCCTCATTTTCAGCGAGTTTTCTTCAAATTTAGCTGAAATTTAGATTTTTTTTGGCTTTTATTATTCTGGGTCAGTTGCAAAATCTTTTCTTTTCACTCAAAATTTAACCTCAATCAAACTCAATAAAGATAAAAAACAAATAATCGAAGGTAAGTAACACTGACAGATAATCTAACCTAAACTAATTTGGCTTGATCAATGCGATATAACCTTGGACTTCAACATGCTCGTAGTGGTTGGAAATTTGATGACAAGTGGAGAAGAGAAAAGAAGGTGGTGGCCATTAGTGTTGCGAGAAAGAGAAGAAGGTGGTGGCGGTCGCTTTTTACTGGTTTGTAGAACGGTAGAATAAAGAAGGGAAAATAGAAGCAGGGAAGAAAGGGGGAAAGGAGCCAGGGAAAAGATAGGAGGAATCTAAACCAAAAAATAAAAAAGATGAAAATGGCAAAGGCTGATGAAGGCGGTGTAACTTGAGGGGCCATTGTCTTATATTTGCAATGTCCAATTTTTTTTACTTTTAAATTTCAATTTCTAATTAAATTAAATGTACATTTTACATTCAAAAGTCCATTACCTTATATTTGGCTAATGATAATCTATAAAATCATGTAAAATTAATCACTTCATATATACAAATGTGATAAGATATATTATATAAATTAAGTAATTATAGTATTTACATAAATAATAAGTAAAATTTTATATTTATATAGATTCATACTCTTAAATGATTAAATAATTATTTTAAAAAATTCATTAATTCAAAATTTGAACATTAGCCATCTTTGATGAAGAAATTGTAACAATTTATAGACATAAAGAACATTTAACATGTTCTACCTTGTTAATTATTAATAATTATATTTGTAAAAATTTATAAATATAAAAATGAGAGCTTTTTTCGGCATGAATGTTTTAGCATAATATCAAAAAATTGTGAATATAATTTTTTTTGTTTAAATAAAAGATCATAGAATGTTACAAATTATTTTAAAAATAAAAAAGTAATTATATAATTATGATTTACAAGTAAGTTGTGCAAAATTGAAAAAAATTTATTATTATAATAAACGCAATGATCATGATAATATTTGTTTTATTCATAATTGTGATAAACACGACGTAAACGAAAATACGATCATGATTATAATTTAAATCCCCATATGATAATAAACACGTCTTGGATTAGAATAAGATGCAAATTTCTTCTTTTGTATTTTTGTTGTTTCTAGTTATCAGGAAATGCCATGGCTGAGCTGGGGAGGCTACTTATGTATGAAGCTTAAAGGGATTGGTTGGTAAGTTATTACACTGTGCATACTGATCTCTTTTTTTATTTTTTTATTTTAGTTCTTGGAAAGATCCAAGCACAGTTTTGTTACGGCTAGGATTCTAATATAACTTGGTCTGGGTCTAAAGTCTAGAGCAGAAGAAGCGTGATTTTCTGACTTGGCTGTATCTTTCTCTTTCCGCCAGAAACCTATTTCAATGAGCTGCTGTTTATCATTTGGATCAACAAGGTATATATCATTGAAATAGTTTCTTTTTCAATTGCATTGCAATATATCATTTCAATCTTCGCCATAAACAATGTAAAATGTATTTTCCTAAATGAAAACACATTGGTGGTTGTTTATCAAAAAAAAAAAGAAAAATAACTTGTTGGTGGAATATAAATATATACATATATACACACACACGAGAGAATCATTCCTGGAGAGATTCCACTATTTTAGGCCTCGAACAAAGATTAATTCGAATAAAAAAGACAAACAATTATGATCTTACGAGAAAAAATTTCCAAAAATCATATTGCTAAGCACTCCAACCGCTAGCTTCCCTGCAATATTGTACATAATTTCCTTGTTGTCATCTCTCTGAACCTGACTGCTCGTAGGAGAGAGCCTAGAAGCATAAGGATCAAAATAAGGTGATATGGAAGGAAGACCGTAAGCATAAGGTGGTCGTGGAAGGGCCACAGAATCGCGAGAACAACATGCCGACGATGGTGGCGACGCTGCTGGCACAAATCGTGGCGTTGACATGTTACATGGCGCTAAAACACATTCAAGGTGAAGATCACAGCAGCAGAGTTCACATCTATAGCGCCAGGACGTGCACATACCTTTGCAAACCATGCACCAATTACCAGGGTGGAAAGATTGAAGCTTCAAGAGATGATTCGGATGCATCACGTGCTTGACATGTTCAGGCAATTGGGTGCAAATAGGGTGCACATCAAAATCACAGAGCTGGCACCTGTAGAAAAGACCTTCAACCAGGCCGCCACATACATCACAGGCATGGACGTTTTGATGGGTGGCATGTGGGTTGCGAAGGGCAAGGCTGAGGCTGTGTTGTGGGTGCATGAAAGAGGAAAACACCGTAGGGCAGGTGCTGCAGTGTTCATGGAGATCAAAATCACAGTCATTGCATCGGTATCTGGTACCAAAACCCAGAGTCTTGCAACCATCGCAGAGGAATTCTTTGTTCTTGTAAACTTTTGTTAAAGGATGGTTATGGGTGAAATGTTGAATAGTGTTCGTTGGCAATGGAGCCATCTCTCTCTTGGTGCAAATTAAGCTGCAAAGAGGAACCAACAGAGCAAAGTTTTCAATTACAGGCAGGCAGGTAGAATTGATTGGTTATTAGTTAAAAAAAAAATTTAAGATTTTAACAAGTTTGTGAGACCGCGACTTGATTTGGATTTTCTCTAATTTATAATGTGAATGGTGCCATAGTCTTATATAAATTTTTTTCTATTATAAAAAATAATACATTGGGATTTGCGTGTGATTTTTCTGATTTCCCCAAAATCCATTTCTGTTTGCTTCGGTTTCCCCTAAAAGCAACAAACATAACATTTTAATGTTTACTCTTAATGAATTGTCCATTAGTAAAGAATCTCTTTGCAAAAAATATAAATTAAGGGCATTATGAAATCATTTCAACACAAATCTTCTCCTTGGAATTACTCTTCCCTTTTGTTTTTAGTAAAAATGAAATTCCCGCAAAGCCTCAGCCAAGTCTGGATTTTACATGCAATTAAAAAGGAGGCCATGAACCAGTTATTGGGCTAAACTCAAGGTTAAAAACCCAAAACAGAACCCAAATCTCCATGTGTTTTGAAACCGAAAGTGTACTATCAATTAAAGAGGGTAGGGAAGGCCAGCAATGGTCCAAACTGGACCCAAAAACCTGATCCAAAAGAGAGAAGTAGCAAATTCTCCTTTGGAACCCAAAGAAGTATATGGTGTTCTGAAGTTCCGTCTACACCAAACTTGGGAGATCGATCGATCGGAATCATGTACTGCCGCATTAATTTTAGTCTCCGGTGTTCTTCCTCCGATACGACACGTTTAGTGCCCACTTTTCGCCCCTTCAAAAACCCTACTTTCCTTCTTCCTTTTAAACCCAACACCAACGAACCCATTAAGGCAATTTCCTAATTTATTCCTCACTTTTTCTTTTTTTTTTATTCTTATAACTTTATTCGTTAAAATCTCCACTAATCTTCCCTTTTTCTTCTTAAAAGATCTCTTTCTCGACTTCTCGGTGGCTGCGGAAGCATCGGATGGGCTTTGTGACGGTGAATTCTCATATGGCCACCGAGGAGGAGTTTATTTCAGATGATAGAATGCTTGTCAGTTTTCTTCTTTTGTTTCACTAAAACGACGTAACTTTTGTTTGAGTTTGGGTTTATTTTTTTATTTTTTTAAGGTGTTTGTGTCTCCACATCCCTTAATTAAGCACTGGATTTCGGTTTTGAGAAACGAGCTAACTCCTTGCCCCATTTTCAGTGAGTTTTCTTCAAATTTAGCTGAAATTTAGATTTTTTTAGCTTTTACTGTTCTGGGTCAGTTGCAAAATCTTTTCTTTTCAAGTATAAGATAATAAGCCTGCCTTGGATTAGAATAAGATGTAAATTTCCTTTTTTTTTTTTAATTCTTTCTGGTTACCAGGAAATGCCATGGCTGAGTTGGGGAGGCTACTTATGTATGAAGCTTCAAGGGATTGGTTGGTAAGTTATTACACTGTGCATATGTTTCTCTTTTTTGCAAAATATTAAAGGTCTTACCTTTTTGTTTTGGGAAATTTTTCTATTTGTCTTCTTTTCCTGCTAAATTGTATTGCCATCAAGGATGTATTTTTCTATATGGAACTTATATGTCTCGGGGTTTACGGCTGGCAGCCTACTGTAACGGGGGAGATTCAATCGCCAATGGCTATTGCTTCAGTTGAATTTATTGATCCAAGGGAACCGGTGGCGGTTAGTTTCTACTTCCAGCTTTTAGATTCCTGATATCTCTCTGAATTGGTTGAGCAGAAGTTTGTGGTGAGCCTGTGACTAATACTTTATTCTTTTAGCTTCTCAGATTGTTCCAATCTTGAGAGCTGGTCTTGCTCTGGCTGAACATGCATCATCCATTTTGCCAGCTACAAAAACATACCATTTAGGTAAATTTGACGCATAATCTTTACGAAATTTTCCACTCCACCACCCAACCCACAAAAAATACTATAGTTCATGTCTTCTTTTTATTTTGGCTTTTGATTCCTACTTATTCTTCAAAACTGTAGCTTTCATCTCTTCATGTTCTTTATGTAACCAACCAGTTTAGTTGTTTCTGATTATTTATGGTTTTGTTAATGAAGGGGTAAGCAGAGATGAAGAGACACTTTTGCCAACAGTTTATCTAAATAAGTAAGAATGTACTTCACTTCTTTCTGAACTGTAGCATTTTAGTTTGGCCAGCTATGTTTCATCCTTTCCTTTCCTTCAGGCAGGCTTACTTTCTAGTTGGATTATCATTATGGGCTGTTTACTGTTTTATGTTAGGGTGTGTGTGTAACTTATGGTAATGTCCTCTGTAGGTTGCCTGACAAATTTCCCGAAGGATCTCGAGTTTTTGTGGTAGATCCTATGTTGGCAACAGGTACTAATCTTCATCTAACAGTTCAAAATCTAATGTTTTATATATCCTTTTATAACTATAAAGCTTTTTGGGATTTTTCCCTTTTATTTTTGCAGTCAAAGTGAAGAGAATCAAGAAAATCTTTGATTTTGCATTCAAAGTGAGGATAATATATAACTATTATCCTCGTAGCAGTGCCTGCACATGTTGTTACATTTGTGTGCGTTGTGTTTTAAGTGATTTTTTTTCCTGAGACTGAGGTTGATTCTGTTACACACCTTTCGCTAATTTTCTTGTTAAAAATTTCAGGTGGCACGATTGTGGCAGCACTTGACCTCTTAAAGGAACGTGGAATTGGCAACAAGCAAATGAAAGTGGTAAATAATTTGGAAGAATCCTTTCTGCTTAAGTTGAATTTATATTTTGGAAGTTCTTTGGAATGCTTGTGCTGTGTCAAAGATTTAAGTTGATCAGATATGTGGTTAGGTAGTGCATTCCCACATTGTTACTAATGCATTTGTTTTATGATATCAAATTCTTATTGCATCAGGATCAATTGCTTTTAATAGTTTCTTCTACTGTTTGCATGTTGTTGTGTCAACATAAATAATATAGTAGACCATGACCTTTCTTGGAAGTTTGTATGCACGCCCTGTTAATAGTTGAGCCTCAGCTACTAAATTTCCTGCACAGCAAGCATATGGGGAAAACTCTACATCTAATGCGATTAAATTGTTTATAATTTCCTATCTTCAACCCACTTAGACTGAAACAGTAATTTCAATAAACATTTTATAAGCTAACTTACTAATGAATGGAGCTGCTCTATTACAGATATCTGCTCTGGCAGCTCCTCCAGCGCTTCAAAAGCTCAGTGAGAGATTCTCTGGGTAATTAAAGTTTGTATATGAAATCCATGTCTGAAAAACCTGTGCAGTTCCATAGCATTTGAGTTGTTTATGATTTTGTGATTTTCAGGCTTCACGTGTATACTGGAATTATCGACCCCACTGTTAATGAGAAAGGGTATGCTCTTTCTTTTCACTGGACTTGGCTTTTGGATGTTGTGAGCAGGCTATATACTTGGTAACTGTTATTTGGGTGCTTTTAGGTTTATAATTCCTGGACTCGGGGACGCAGGAGATCGGAGCTATGGTACATGACGGAAAATAAAGATAAGAAAAAACTATCTACGAGCAGTTTTGATTTTTTGAGCCCATCACCAAGTTTAAAAAGGCTTGAAGAGGTTTTTAGCGTTCGATTGGCGTGCTTGTTTTGCAAATTTGTTTACTTCATAGTCAATGACTTGGAATAGACTATTCTTATTGTGTGTAAAAGCTAGAGGCTTGAAGTGTAGTCGGACATATTTTTTTATTTGGTTAATAATGGAAAATTATTACTACTTACGAAATCATGTCTTACGCTAATAATGATTTAACTATAAGCAAAAGAAGCCTAGCCGCTGCTTGCGCCCAACTTAGCGATAGCGTCATAGATATCCAGCTTCTAGCAGTCACCTGCTTAGCACAAACACCGGTAGAGGAAAATGTATTTTAATTAAATTAAATAGTCAATTAGCCACTTCTTTTTTCTCAAATAAACCTTTTTATTCAGTACTACGACTTGTCTAAAACTAATAATGATGATTTTAACTACGAGCAATACAGAGAGCCAGTCTCGAGGTTGAGAATGAGTGGGCTTTCCAAGGTGTTGAATTTCATGATAGTGGCATAGGTTTTCATGGTTGATAATAATAAAGAGCATCATATAATAGAAATAATTAGAGATCGCTTAGTGCATATTTAATATAGACTGTCAAACTTAGTTCTAATAGAATGTTATAGACTTTAAATTCAAACATGAATGAATTGAATATAACAGAGGTATATTAAACGAAGAGACTTGGAGGAAACTTCGTGGGAATTAAATCGTAGTAAATACTATCAGTGCTTCATCAAGTTTCAGCCAAATATTATTTTGATCCTCAAGTTATCAAAACTCACTTGTCTCGTAAAGTCATAACGTTAATTCTTCCATCAATTGAAACATTAAATGTCTGACGCCATGTTTGATGCCACAGAGATTTGTGCACTACTTGGTTTATAAATCCAACCCTACTTTACAAGATCAAATAATAATAATAATAATAAGCCAGCTCCATCTTTCCTCCACGCCCCACGGAACTGATGATTCATAACATTGTTCACAGATGGCAAAATATCTAGTTCCGTAATGTCCAACCTCAAATCGAATATAAATGCGAATGATAAAGCCTATATACATCCATCCACTTCACCAAAAAAAAAAAAACAAAATACTTCAATAGCATGGACTAGAATCCATTACAGACTGTACAGAAGAGGAACAAATAAACAAGAGCAGGAAATGAATGCATAAGCGTAAATTCATTCACAACAAACATTCTTTCTAAACACAGAGGTTTACACTGCTATTCTTAAGTAACTAAAAGAAACATTAGCAGCCGGCTTGCCCCAGAAATATAAGCATATTTTAGCTAATTGCTTATACTGATTCTACACTTTTTTTTTCTTTTTCTTCCCTAAAGGAGGGGCGTATCAATAAAAACACCCTCCATGGTCTCCCTAATATGGACTAAAAACAGAAACAAAGAGGTCGAGACAATTTTACCTTTGTCGGTTTATAAAAATTATTAGCATCCTTCACCTTAATCCAGCCAAAGAAATTATTTTCTAGAAACATCAACAGCAGCTAGATGCAACCTTATAATAACCAGCTGTACGAGTTTCAAATCCACAGAACCATTCCTGCCTGAAACCAAAGACAACAATAACAATCAGAATCATAAAATGGAACACCATTACTCTTCCTTATGTTTAAGCCACACCACCCACATACCAGAAGCAGAATACAAATCAAATATAAAAGGATTTACATTGATAAAGATAAAAATGAAGGTTCAAATTATAAGAGAAAAATATGAGTTCAGAAATTAAAAAATAAATACACCAGCACCATGACAGCAAAATTTGGGACAAGTAGTCCTCCCAATTTCAAGAGAGTTGTTAAACTTGGAAGGGTCTGGTCAGTTGACCCTTTTACATAGAGCCAAAGTATTTTGACCAGACCGGAACAAACCAGAGCAATAAATTTAAATCTAATCCATAAAAAACATTGTTTTACCAAATCAAAACCACTCTAGTGATATTAGAGAACTAAACCTTTTCCAGTTGTATACCACATGCAAAAAATTTCTTTTTAACCACTAGGCCAAGTATCATCATGTAGAACCCTAACGGCAGTGAACCAAAACGTTCAGAGACCGCAAAAGAGAAATCATTTCCATATCTCTATTCAGTTCAATGCTTCAAGTCTTTTTTAACTTGGGACAGGGATGGGGGTTTCAAGAGCCATCTTTTCTCCAAGGAAGTGACCCAAAGCCTTCAACAACAGCTAAGAGAACTCATTTGAATATCCCTATTCTATTCATATTCAACAGCACAAGAAAACGTTTTATGAACTAGTATTTAACCCTAGAGCAAAAAGCACTGTTTCAATTGCAAAGTTACCATACTCGGATGGAAATAAAGCACTAAATGATACTTATAGAAACTCAGCAACCAGTAACACTATATAGAGAGGGTTTGACAACATCATGCACGTGTGGACAACAGAACACAAACAAATGAAAGAATTTAGAGGAGATACCAATGCACCACTATGCATATCATGATAGTGAACTAAAAAGTCCACAATCATGGAAGATATAAGAGTAGCATGTGAACATACAAAATATTCCAAAATCAATAAAATTAAAAAGGTGAACTTAATCAAAAGATTAACAGCTGAAAATTATAGAAGTAAAACAAAATTAACAGCACTAAACTATTAATCAAGGGAAAACCTTATTACAAACAAAAAAGAAACCAAAATCCAACATAACATTGGATGTAGATAAACTCACATGCTATAGATTATGCAAGCTACAGCTCACTGTAATTGCGCCAAACTGCACGAAATTCCTCACGGAAAGTGTTAAGACGAGCTTTCAGGTTAGGTGTTCTAAAACTTGCATGGAGGACGGTGGCTGAGAGGGAGAGAGAGTTAGATGAAAAAATTACATGCTTAAGAAGGGAAATGACAAAAAAAGAAATAAGGAGATGACTTACCAAGAAGACCAATGGCAAGTGCCCATAGCACAGTCAAGAGACCACAGGATACATACCAAAGGATGAAACTCACTACAATAAGAATGGTAAAATAAGTTGTTTTCTACACTACATTGGATAGCAAGCTGACTAATTTTGCTTTACTAAGAAAGAGAATATTTCTCAAACATATTGATACCAGACGAGAATACGAAGACAAACACCCAACGAGGCCGACCACATATGTGAATTGCTCTTTTAGCTGATGGACGTCCACGAATAACAGGTCTGGCAATAATGAAACAGTTAATAACCAAATCAAGAATACATACTCCGCAGACACAAAAACAAGTAAATACAACTTTACGTTAGGGGAGGCCTCATCTTAGCTGCTAAATGTGGAGAGAATTGCCTCACAGTTCTTGTCACCTTCTCACTAAAAGTACCAGCGAAACTGTAGGACAAACAATTGTTGGCAAATATGGATGAGAAAACTAAATCTAACCATATGGTAACCTTCAATACTAGCGCTCATCCATCCATTTCAAGGTAACATTCAAAATAACAACCTCAGTGACTTGAAATGCAGAACACTAAAAAAAGAGGTTTAACATAGTTTACCTATCATTCAGAAAAGCAATGCTAAGGGCTGTTAAAATCGCGGCTAAAATAGCTACCGGTCTCCTCAAGAACCCCAAACCTGGAAAATCAAACAAATTAGAAAAAAAAATACATGTAGTGAAATAAATTCGAGCCCTTCTACTTACCAAGAATGAGGACAATCAGAATGAAATAATTGGTTCGATAGCTGCCAAAAAAAAAAAGGCACAATATTCAAGTAAGAAACTAAAATAAATGAAGCATTTGATCTAGAATTTGCAAAAGCACACTCAAGATCAAGATTCAATAATTTTCTTCTTTTTGGAACATTTTCATTTTTTTTTTCTTTTTTCTTCTCGGAAACCTAACAGCACCGATCACGATTCCAACTGAATCGAATTGAAAAAAAAAGGTTAAAAGAAAAATTACTAGTAGAGATTGCATTTAAGGCGGCTGTTCCATTTAGCATATGATCGAGGGACGGTGAATCGGGAGAAGAATTCGGAGAGAGGTCGCGGCGGTGACGACCAGTCAACTTCACGAAGCGCGTCGACCAGATCCTCAGCGGTTACGTTTCCCCAATCCATTGGATTTAATTATGCACGATCCTCTTCCTATCACTCAACGGAACCCTAGAAATTAAGAAAAAAAAGTGCCCGAAAATGGAATTTTTTCGAGGAAGTGATGCTGAGGGAAATGAAATCGAGATCAAGTGAGTGAGGGAATTTGAGGGGTGACGGGAGCTTATAGATTGCCTTGGTTTGGAAGAATTTTGAGGAGAGTTTTTTTTTTTTTTGAGATTGATTTTTGGTCTAAAAGTAAAAAAGGCTGAAGCGTAAAGGAATTAACGAGGTTCGTATGTTATGTAAATAAAAAGGAAGAAAAGTAGAAATATATCCGAGCCCGAATTTCCTCTCGTTTGTGAAACCAGCGTCGTACCCGGTAATCTACACTACGCAAAACGCTTTGCTTTGGTAAATTCTAGTTAATAATTATTAAACAAAAATAGGCAAATTGATTGTATTTCTTTTGTACTTAAGGATGTAAATGTAACTTTCTTAAATATATATATATATATTAAATTCAGTTGTTTCAATTATTTTTAAAATTTAAGAATGATAAAATAATTTATATACAAAAAATTTTGATCCATTCTAATTTAATAGGGATAATTTTTAAAAATTGAAGATCAAATTAGAAGTGAGATATTTTTTTTAAAAAAATGAAATTGAGTTGCAAGCAAATTTTAAAGTACTCCACAATTAATTTTCAAATTTAGGAATGATAAAGTTTTAATCTATTCCAATTTAATAGTGTTGAGTTTTTTAAATCGAGGGTTGGATTGGAGACTGGGCGTTTAAAAGAAAACTGAGTTCTGGAGGCAAATTTTAAAGAGCTCCATCTTAACTTGTATAGGATATATAAAATATATATTTTATTATTTATTTAATTTTATATTTATTGTATTAATAAAATTATTAATATTTTAATTTAATAGAAATACTACATTTATAATAATTAAGATGCAATCTTTTTAAATATTATATTAAAATAATTTTTTATGTAATATGAATCAGATGTGAATTATATGTATATGTGTTAGATTAAGATTAAATATTAAAATAATAAACCAATATTTGATCAAATCAACAAATTGAATCAAATTTTTTAAATGTTGAGTCGAAACAAATAAAAATTTTTTAATCTGATATGTTGTATTTTTATTCTAAATTTGTAATTTATTTTATTATTTTTAAATTATAACTTTTTTTTTATATAAATATAAAATTATAAGTTGTAATAATCCAAGTTTTTTCGTGTATTTTTTTGGTTAACTTGATTTTAAATGCCAACAAACCAAAATTAACCTATGATGAACAAGTTAATTTTCATATGCATGTGTTTTGTTTGATTTTTAAAACCTTTACCCCTTTTATTTTAATATATCATTGGTTTCATTCATTAAAAATGAGAAATTATATACAAATAAAAGTCAAAATAGAACGATGAAAAATGTATACCTTGAATATAACTAAAAAAATGAATAATGTGAACTTTTATATATTAAAAGATCAAGTTTAATATGATTGTTAGTGATATATTTTTTGAACTATTTAAAAATATAAACAGATTAAAAAATATGAACAAATGTCAATCATGTTATAAAATGATAGAAGTAGAAAGAGAATATTTATTTATAATCATTAATAAATAAAATATTTTGATTCATAAACTTAAAAATGGAAAATGGAAAATAAACCGTTAATATTTGGATCTTAAGCTGCACACCACCCAATTAAAACCGGCCAACTCACTGTAACTCCGGGGTTGCACCGTAGAGCCAACTGTACGTTAAAATATACTCCATCTTAATTCCGCTTTCGCTTGTGGCTTTCGTAAAGGCAATCAAAATCACCAAAAAGCTAATCAACGATTACGTTCACTAATCACAATTGCAATCTCAATAATTCAACTGATAATAATAATTAGAATCCAAAATAAAAAAAAAAACCATTAACGAAAGTTCCATTAAAAATTTAATCTCACCCTCCCCTCTCTTCCTCTCTCTTCGTCATCATCGTATTAAGATCTTTGCACGGCCAATCGGAAATCCTTCTAAATTGCGGGTCGAATCTTCCAAAGGATTCAAATTCCAGCATCTGATACTCTAATATTTTAAAGCTTATATTCTGGTGTCGGATCCTAGGGTTTTTTCCTGTCTGTCTCTCTCTATTTTTTTAGGTTCGTCTGTAATGGCTCAAGCAACGGGGAGGGGAAGAGTTTTAGGGGACTATTTAGTGGGCCGGCAAATCGGGTCGGGTTCGTCCTCGACTGTTTGGCATGCGAGGCATCGAGTTCATGGAACCGAGGTAGCGATAAAGGAGATCGTAACGGGTCGACTTAATAAGAAGTTGCTGGATAGTTTGATGTCGGAGATCTTTATTTTGAAGAGAATTAATCATCCTAATATTATTCAACTGTATGATATTATTGAGGTTCGTGTCGTCTTCTTCTTCTTCTTCTTCTTTCTTTTTTTAAAAAATTGTTTCATATACTATTCTAGGAGCTGTTTGGATGCCTAGAAAGTAGAGGAAGAAGTGGCGGAAACGGAACTGTTTGAATTTATTGTTAGAAATTGAGTTGTTTAAGGTAGGGACTGAAACTTGAGATGCCGTTTATTTCAATGGAAAGTTCTTTTTAAAGGAAAATATTAAAAGGACATAGAATTTGTATTATTTTTTGCTGAAGATATTTTAAGATACGGCATTGAAAACAATAAGAATCTATTTTTGGTTCCAAAATTTTGCGGACTTGCAATTGAAAAAGTAGTTGTTTGATAGAAGCAGAGAATGAATGAATTAATGAAGAGTAGAATTTTCGGTCAATCTATGTCATGTGTTTACGTAAGCCTCTATTGCGTTGAGAGTTTGCAATTTGGAAGACCAAAAATGAGTCAAAATTTCATTTCATTTTCCCTTCGCTCCACAAAAACAAATGTTAAGTTAGAAGCTTTGAGGAACATTGAAAATTTTATGGTAAATTTGCAGTGGTCAGGGGAAACTAAATTGAAATGCTATTTTTGTGTGCTTTTGAAGCTCTCTGCTGTTTTTGTGTATATCTAAAATATTTTCTTCGTGCTGAAGTAGTTATATGCTGTGGCCCTTCATTCCATGGACTGCTTGGAGTGGAGTAATGGTTTCCGTAGTTGCAATTTTGCTCTATGGGTTGGAGCAGCATTTTGTTATTTCTCATTAGATCTTTTGTAAGTGGAGGTCATTTAAAAAATGTCTCTCATAATGTACTTTTGATTTGAAATTAAAGTTGTTTGAGATAATGTTGATGTGCCTTGCCAATTTTTTTTTTTTACTTTCAGTTGTTATATAAGCAATTGTATAGTATATATCTTAATCATATTTTTATTTTGGTTTATATGCATATCTTTAGGTTCCTGGAAAGATACATCTTGTATTGGAGTACTGCAAGGGGGGTGATCTTTTTATGTATATTACACGCCATGGAAGAGTCCCTGAGGCAACTGCAAAGCATTTCATGCAGCAGCTAGGTACGCTACAAATGGTTGTTGGTTTTCCTCATCCATTGAATTTTGGTCACTTAAACTCCTATAATCATCTTCTTGCAGCATCTGGCCTACAAGTTCTCCGTGAAAATAATGTTATACATCGGGATCTAAAACCTCAGGTTCAATTCATTCTCTTTGCTTCAAGTTTGAATTTTGATATAATTTTATGGCTGCTTATGCCTATAAGGAAAGAAGCAAGCCTACTCAAAAAGGCATACTATTTTCTTTCTATAATTGTAATCAAATAGGATTTTGATGTAAGAGATTATACTTTTTTTCCCTCTAAATTGGGTTTGCTTTTGAACCATATTATGGAATGTGATGAAGTTGTATATATTGGTAGATGTGCTATCAAAAATAGGTCCTTGATGTTTAAAGACATCCTTTGGTATAGGCTAGTCTTGTCCATGCTGTGAAGTTTTCTTTCAATAGGTTCTCTTTGTAATATTATCGTTTCTCGAACAGAATCTTCTTCTCTCAAAAAATGACAGCAATGCAGTTTTAAGGATTGCGGACTTTGGATTTGCAAGGTAAATGATCACATTGACTCACCTACTTATAGGGTGTTTTCTTTCCCTTTCCGATTTTCTTATTAAAGGAATCTTGGTGAGTAAAATGTACCTTCCATCCTCTACTAGGCCTTATCCTTGGCTGTTTCAATTTGGCTGCATGTGCAACATTGCAAGTAATTCTTTTGATTGTTGGTACTACAACTTGAGACCACCCATCTTTTATGTGCTTATCCTGCTTTAGATGATATGAGAATGGTTTCTATTCTCAAATTTAAAATTAAGAGGGATGATCTTAGGGCGTAACCACTGCATAGATTGGTTCTCGACATAGTGAGGAATGGAAACTGAGGCTTCAAAAACATGGCATGTTTGGAAATTATGGTGACAATAAACATGGCTGCAATGGTCCAGTGTAATTGATTTTTAATTGCAGATATTAGTCAATGAAGTTATTCATAATTATTGTCTACTGTCCTTTCTTTTTCAGAGTTCTGTTAAAAATTGAGATTCTTTTGCATTTGTAATCCCATTGGTCTCATTTTGCTATTAAAATAAAGTTCAATTTTTTACATATCCTTAATTGTGGACAGACGGAAAGAAGATGAAAAAGATATAACTTTACTTCTATGCGAATCTTCTTTTCTAATGAATTTTCACCCATAGTCAATTGTTAGAACATTACAGTTCTGTTTTGGCAGATCTCTGCAACCTAGGGGGCTTGCTGAAACATTATGTGGTTCACCGCTTTACATGGCTCCAGAGATAATGCAACTGCAGAAGTATGATGCAAAGGTGATAGTTACTCCCCACCCATGACTCCTCTTCCCTCTTCTCGTTCATACTTGAAATTACTGCCTGCTAACCTTGACCATGATATGCAGGCAGATCTCTGGAGTGTTGGTGCTATTTTATTTCAGCTTGTTACTGGGAAAACTCCATTCAATGGAAACAGTCAAATTCAGGTTTAATGAACTTTTTAACTTTTTTGTTTATCTAAAGTGGTCCCTATGGTTCTTGGAAGTTCTAATTTTAGACTTGCAATTGATCACCTGAGTTGAACTAGTGATTATTTTAGTGCCTTTGCAGTTCCCTTGATCTTTTTTTCATATCTCATCTTATCCAGTTACTCCAGAACATTGTGAAATCAACTGAGTTGCATTTCCCTGTGGAAAACAATTATTTGACTGCTCATTGCAAAGATTTATGTCAAAAATTGCTGCGTCATAACCCAGGTATTCCACAAAGGTAGATGTAAATTACAAACTTCTGACATGTACAATAGAATTATTTGCTGACATACTAGAGAACAAAAAAAAAAAAAATCATTTAACTATTAGATGCTACTTTATTCTAGGACAATGAGGATTCCCAAAATTAGAGATACATGAAACACTCTAATTCCTAGGCGGCAACCTCAATTGGAATTGTATAGTTTGTGACTAATGTTCTTACCCCTTACTTTCTGCTTGCAATTTTAGATGAATGACTTTAACCACCTATTTGTTAATTCAGCTTGCAAGAATTACTATAATATAAGTAATAGCCTCTATGTGGTAGACCACACAAAGAAGATGATGCTAAGATAATGCTTTAGCTGATCTGTCAAGCCATGGAGCAAAGAGAACCATAACAGTATGTTTGGATTGAGGGGAAAGGAAGGAAAGGAAAGGAAAATAAAAAAAAAGTAATAGAAACAGAAAAACCTTTCCTTTGTTTGGATAAGCTTTTAATTTAAAGGAAAGGAAAGAAGTGGAAACTCAATAACCCTTGGTTTTCCCTTCACTTTTTTAATACCCCAATTTGGGGGAAAAGATGAGGAAAGGAAAGCTAAAAAAAATTTATTTTTGTAAAAAGACTATTATATCCAACTTTTTATTAATACCAAAAGCCTAGTAGAAAAAAACCTAGCCACATCACAATCTTCCTATAATTTTTTCAAAGTCATCTCTTTTTTCAAGTAAGTTTCATATGTCTCTTCCAATATAAAAATTTTTTATAATTTTTTGGTGATTTGATCTTGATGAATGATTGAATATGAATAGACATATATTTTAGGTTTAGGAGATGTCAAAGTGATAATGTGCTGAAATTCTGATAATAGCCAACAAATCCATCAATGCATGTTTGTAAAACATCTTTTTGTTTCACTTGATTAAAAACCACTAATATAGTAGCAATTGTGAGGTTAGATAAGATAGCAAACATATTATGATCTAGAAGTGCTCTATAAAATCACAAGCAATGAAAGGTTATAATTGAAAAAAATTATTATAATGAATCATTTCCTTTCTTTTTCACTCTTTATCTAAATAATGGTTGTTAGAATTCCTTTCCTTTCTTTTCCTTTATTAATTTTAATTATCCAAACAAGGGGTATATGTAACCTTTCTTTTCCTTTCCTTTATTAATATTTATCCAAACATAGTGTAAGAGTCATGTTTCATTCTGCAATGCTATCAACGTAATTTGAGTGCTGAGCAATTCTTATTTATATTCTTGTACTCATTCTTGGTGTGCTCTTTATCCTTCTATTTGCAGTGGAACGTTTAATGTTTGAAGAGTTCTTTAACCACCCATTTCTTTCTCAGGGACAATCAGACAAATCATTGAGGTAAATAAGGAAATGATTGTTCCCATCATATTGTCTTGATGTACATTATTCTTCAGTTCCCTAAATAATGAAATGTTGTGGTATATGCAGGAGTCAGAGAATTTCAAGAGCTGGTTATCCTTTTTCTGAAAGCGGTCATGTAAGGAATACTGAGGAAAGCTTTCAGGAGGACTTTCTTCCTTTCTTTCTGGATGATGATTCTAGTGGTCCTGAAGGGAGCCCTTCTGTTGCAAAGAAGAGGTCCTCAATGAAATCTGCTTATAGATTTTCTCCTGATGCAAAAGATACTAGAGAAGCAACATCTAATCCTTTGAATAAAGTGGATTTTACATCCAAATACAGCAATACAGGGCATAAATTGGAAAATACTAGTTGTAGACTTGAAAGCCGCAAGGTTTCAGGTGAAACTCTACATGAACCTTACAAATCCATGGATCAAAGATCTGTGAGTACTCGTTCAAGAGGTACCAACAATCTTATATGTTCCATTTCTCAATTCAGTTACATATGATCTAGTTTCCAACGTGTCTTGCTAAGCATATATGTTTGAGCAATTGTCATCCTTTGAATAACATGTCTGATTTAACTGTCACTCTTGCATTGTTTCCACAGTTGGGGACTCACTGGATTTGATCGACCAAGATTATGTCCTCGTGTCTGGACCTCCTGTGGATGTGTCATCTTCTTCAGCTAGCACTTCCAAGCCAAACCATATTCCATACAAATCAGAAAGTCCACCTCTAATCCCCTTTACCAGTAACACCGCATCAACTGCCCCAATGCCTATCATTGATGCTACCAATGTTAACATTTGTCATGTAGGAAGCTTGGAAAGTCAGAGCTCTACCCCTGGGACTTCTCAAGGATCCATGGATATTGGAGATACTCTGGAACAGCCATCATCTCATCGCATGACAAGGATAAAGTCATTACAGCAGTGTGCATCTGCAATTACTGAATTAGTGCATGAGAAGGCTAGTCCATAATACATCTATTCTTAGTGCATTATGCAGAGTAGTGCAATAACATAACTAGTTCCCTCTCTTTCCCCTTATTCTTCCCCCATGCTTTCATGCTTAACTGCCATTTAACCACTGAACAGTCATTTGTACTCATCTTGGTGTGTCTGGAATATTTGATTGGCTCTCTTGGATGACCTTAGCATGGTCTATTAATATATGTTGCGTGATTGAAGTTGAAGTAACCTGTGTATACAACTTCAACATTTAGATTCTCTACCTATTGCCTTTTTTGCTGCTTACTTTTGGGTCAGTAAGGTTCTTGCAATACACATGTTCCTAGCTAGGTTCTCCTCGTTTTTTTATGCTATCACAAGGTTTATTGAGGTTATTTTATATCTAACATTGTCATGGTTCTTTGATAGGTTGAGGCAGATAGACAACTTGAAGCATTCTCAATCCAGCTTGTGGTTCTTGCAATTTGGAAGCAAGCATTGCATATTTGCCATACGCATGCTGCATCTTCTATGGAAGGAAGTCCTAGCCAAGAGACAAACAGATCGAGCAGGAGTGCCTGCAAGAAGCATGGAACATCTGATGCGGAAGAATTTCAGGATGTTGTCAGCCCCGAAGGGCCAGAATATATATCCTCAGAGATAGAGAGGGAATTTCTCCGACAAGTTGAGCATGCTGAGGAACTTGCCAAGGTTGTTGAGCCGGGTATGCCTAAGATAATTATTGCTCCCTCTATCAATAATTGTTGTTCCACTTTGAAATTGCTCAAACAATAAGAAAGCAAATAAATGCATATGACAATTATTGCTGATGTGTAAGGAAACAAAGTCATGCCACTTTTCTTCATTCTATAAATTTTAAGATTCTAAATTACCATTTTGTCATCATGATTGCAGGTAGTACAGAGATGCCTGACGCGATGGAGACAATATTTCAGGCTGCCATTGCTTTTGGAAGGCATGGAGGAGTGAGTCTTTTCTACTCACCTTGATATCATTCAATTACCTAAATTGTAATCATCTATCAATCTAATTGACTGGGTTTAAGCTCATCAACAAAAAAAACAGGAGCATAGATCAAGTGAAGATCTTTTACAATATGAAATGACGTTACTTATTTACTTGATGAATGCTATGAAAGTTTGATTGAATTAAGGTGATTGAATTGAAGTAATCTTATCTGCTGAAAATTGTCCTGCATGTGTCTTTGCAGGTTGATGAGCTCATGGGTGATATGGAAAGTGCAACTTTTTTGTATTCGAAGGCAGTGCGTTTATTAGTCTTCCTTCTAGTAGAGGCACCGTCCCTCATTCTCAGTCCTCCATTTTCCCTCACAAACTCAGATCGGTATAGACTTAGAACTTACATTGATTTTCTTAGAAACAGGCAAGTTTACTCAAGATCTCAGAGAATAGCTCTTCTCAAGTGCAAGGATCAGCCATAGAATCACCCAAAATTTTTTTTTTTTTAATTCGTGCTCCTGATGACTTGCCCTATTTTGTAAAAAATATATATTTGTACAGTTATTCTTTTGAGTAACAGGGAATTGGGGTGTCAACATGGATCAACTGTCTCCTGTTTCTGTTTCGATGTTGTAATATTCTCATTTCTGCAATTAGAGAAAGATAATAGTATGTGGAGACCGGAGAGCTTGACCATTTTCAAAACGTTTAAAGTTACGAAAACCCTAGAATAACTTAGCAAATTACAATGTCACCCACAGGTGTCTCAACTTTCAATTGCACGTGCGAACTCTCAGCCTATTTAGTCCAAGCCCGGTGGCTCTTCGTCAACTCGGGAAAGTGACACAAGGAAAGAACAATTCTCCTCTTGTAAAATACCAACTGCTCAAATTACACGCAGTCGCGTCTCCGCCTCCTCTTTTGGCAGTGCAAGAATTAAAAAATCTCCGAAGCATTCGTTTTTACGGCCACAAAACAAGCCCTTTCTCTCTCTCTCTCCAAACAAAGGGTTTGTTCCTTCTTCAAATCTTCTAACTTTTCTTTTCTTCAAATATTTTTTGATTCCAAGCTAAGTTGTCTTTGGTTTTTTGATCAGGTTACAACTTTTTGCCGTTTCTTCTATTTGCCGATATAAAAATGTCGAGTTTTAGATTGTTACATTTGGTTAATGTTAGGAACGATGTCGTTTTAACGAAGTTATGGAGTCAAGATTTGAGCTTTTTAAAAAATGGTAGTGAAAGATTCGTTTTTTCAGTGAAGAAGAAACAAAGGCTGGTAATTTTAAGCTTGTCTCAACCACCAGAGGTAGAGCCTCAATCTGGTGCGGCAGCGAGTATAGTAACTAAGGAAAGTAGTGAAAGTAATATTGGAAAAGAAGACGTTAGGATTTTGGGGAGTGATCATGAGGAAGCGAAAATCGATGACGGAAATAGTGGGGGGTTTTTTGATGGAAATGGTAAGTTTAATAATGGTGGTGGTGGAGGCGCTGACGGCGATGGTGAAAAGGGTGATCCGGAAGAGGAGGAGTTTGGACCAATTATGACATTTGAGGAGGTTATGAAGGAGACAGAGGCTAGAGGGGCTACTCTCCCTTCTGATATGTTGGAGGCAGCAAAAAGTGTTGGGATTCGTAAATTGCTTCTCCTTAGATATTTGGATTTGCAGGTAATGTTAGTAAAAATTTGCTGATTTTTGTAGGATTTAATTGCTTCTGCATGGTGAAATAAGTATAGAAACCAGTTATGTATTTTTTAGAAGCAATAGTCGGGTGACTGATAGGAAAAAAAAGTTCAATTTTTGCATTAAATTTTGAATTATTTTGTTATTCGAGTAAATTTGATGCTGTAGTTATTGTAGGGATCAAGTTGGCCTCTAGGATTTGCAATGAGGTCATGGGGAATGCTTCGGAACCGGATGTTGGCTGACCCATCTTTTCTTTTTAAAATTGGAACAGAGGTTTGTTTAATGTTCATCTTGTTTTTTGTTGTAATACTTGTGCAAGTTGTATGTATGCTTGCACGAAAAAATACAAGAATACTGAATAAAGTATCATTGACTCGTTTTTCTATGATGATTTTCATATTAACTGTTTAGACTCAGGTTGGAAAATAACAACACTGGGCTCCATTTCATGGTCAATTGCCATTGATGAGCTAATAAGCTGAAACTTGATGAAATATTTTATGAGATTATTATAGGCTTCATAGGAAGCTAAAGTTTAGATCTTTTAAAAGCTAAAGTTTACAAGAGTACCTTTAATGTGGTGTTTGCTTTGCCAATTTTCATATAAAAGGGTTACGTTGCTTTATCATAATGCAGATAGTTATTGATTCTTGTTGTGCTACCCTTGCGGAAGTTCAAAAGAGAGGCAAGGACTTCTGGGCAGAATTTGAGTTGTATGTTGCTGATCTTTTGGTTGGAGTGGTGGTGAACATTGCTTTAGTTGGTATGTTGGCTCCATATGCACGTATTGGGCAACCATCTATATCAAAAGGGTACCTTGGGCGCATGCAACGTGCTTATGGAGCTCTCCCTAGCAGGTTATCGTAATATGCGACAAGCAAATACTTGATGTAGATGAGCATAATGCACTTATTTTGCTTCTTAATATATCTTATGTTACGTTATCTGCAGCGTTGAAGGTATAAAAAGTTTCTTTATTGAGTTTCCTTATTTATCATCTTCTATAGTGTGTTCGAAGCTGAAAGGCCAGGTTGTAGATTTACAGTGAAACAGAGAATTGCTACATACTTTTATAAGGTAAAACTTAGCTATAAGTCAACTGAATTATAGTGTCATCTTCGGTGGATTGATGTTACTGATCAAAACTTTTTCAGGGAGTCCTGTATGCGTCAGTTGGGTTTGCATGTGGTATTATAGGCCAAGGAATTGCAAATTTGATAATGACCGCCAAGAGGTAAAGGCATCCTTTATTTTTGCACATGCTGACTTCCACTTCACTTAATCTTTTTTTGGTGTTCATTTTTCTCTGAAATATAAATTGTTTTCAAGATCTATATCACTACTTCAGAGGTTCAGCAGTCTTTTCTTTTACCTTTTTAAAATTTCAATAATATATTTTAATGGTTGCAAGAAAAAATTAGCCCCGTCATCCTACTTTGAATGATGAGGCATCATATAGATTCCTGGTGCACCATCCATGTAATTTTTGTCTAGTTTACCATTTTACTTGGAACTAATCACAATTCCATTCTGTCAATTTTGGAAAATGGAGTAAGGATTTTACTTATCCACAAGCTCAAATCTTCCATGTGCTATGGATCCGTTTTTGTTGTGGGATTTAGGGAATTGAGGAAGGGTTATTTAAGGTCCAGCCGAAGCCAACTATCTTTTAGCGAACAATGTCTGGTTTATAAATGATCTTATGTGGAAACAACCATTTTCTACTTTTCTTACAGAGATCTCAGGATTTAAATGGATGTCTAAATATGCTGTATATGAGATCTAGACTGCATGAGAAAATGATGTTTGCTCAGTAAACAAATTGTGGTTCTTCTGATGTAACTTCAAACCACCTTTTCTATTCATGTATGCTTTGGATAAAACTTTATCTGCAATTGATTTATTTTATGGAAATTGAGCTGCTATGATGAAGCCAACTAGTAGCTTTTAAGGATGCATCCATTTTCTTGAAGTTTCTTATTTCTTACCATATATTTTCTCATCAATCAGAAGCATGAAGAAGTCAAAAGAGGACATACCTGTGCCACCTCTTCTGAAGAGTGCAGCTCTCTGGGGTACGTATGCCTTCACTTCTTGAATGTTAATCTTTGTAATTCATGGAACCATTGCAGTAATATGATCTGAAAAATTATGGTGTTAATGACATGATATAAAGTTGCTGTGCACTGTTTCCTTAATTATGATTCATCAGTTAAGTTTGCCTTAATGCATATGATCTATCTAAATTAATTGAATTAACCTGTACAGTGTTTATTGGTTGGCATTGAGATTTTAACAAGCTCAGATCATCCTGTGTTTAATCTGGGAATACTAATTAGATGCATCTCCTCCCATCTGGCAGGCGTTTTCCTTGCAGTTTCTTCTAATACTCGTTATCAGATCATTAATGGATTGGAACAGTTGGTGGAGGCATCACCTTTGGCCAAGCAGGTTCCACCTGTTGCGATGGCTTTCACTGTTGGAGTGCGATTTGCCAACAACATTTATGGTGGGATGCAGTTTGTGGACTGGGCCAGATGGAGTGGAGTGCAATAATTGCACATGTTCTTCATATATTTAGTTAGAAAATAGCCTTCCCTAACCATTCTATTTGGGGTAGAGTTACAAATTTCAATAATCTTGAGTTTTGGATGTTAAACATCAATGTCATAGCCATCAAAGAAGGCGGACAGCTATCGCCCTTTGTATCTTTCCTGCCAGGGGATGTATTTAATCTTGGTCATTACTTGGGAAGTTAATCTTTTCAAAAATATTGAACTCAATCTATTCTTCTTTACAGTCTTATATTATAATTCGCTAATTCAGGTATAAGTAATGGTTATGAAGAGCTATCTTGGTTAAATGCATGGTCGAAAGTTTACATTTTTCCGTGTCAAGCAATTTGTCATTACGAGGTAAGTTATAACATAAACTTTGTTGGCCTGGTAAAAATGGAAAAAAAATTATCCCGACTTTCCCCAAAAACAGAAAAATCTTCGGACACGGGAAAAACAATATAATAAGCCGTTGAGCAACAGACTTTCAACACAAAATTCGGGAACATATCCATATATCTCTGGTTTAATAGCAGAGAATGAAGCTACAAGAAAAGGAAAAAGGAAGGAAGGGGAAGAATTTGACAGAGAAAGATATGGCTGATGGATCCAGTTCTTCCTTGGTGGACCAAAACTCGCAATCCCCTCCATATCTTTCACCTTCGTCTGAAAAGGCACCTGGAGGATGGAGGGCTGTCAAATACATTCTTGGTAATTTATTGCAATGCCAACAATCGCCTTCATTCTAACGCCATTTACTGTTTTCTCTTTCATTGTTTTACATGAATTCAAATGGGTAGGTGCAGATTTCCTGATCATATTTATGTCTTTTTTTTTTGTTTTCCATTTACAGCGAACGAGACCTTCGAGAAACTTGCTTCCATGAGTTTGATTGCCAATATGACTGTGTATTTGAAAACCAAATACAACATGGATGGGATTCTTGTGGTTAACGTGATTAATATTTGGTCTGGTTGCTCCAACATCACATCAATAGGTGGTGCTTTGGTTTCTGATACATTTCTGGGACGGTTCCTCACGCTTCTCTTTGGTTCAATCTCCTCGTTACTGGTAAATCAGTGTGCTTTTCCCTAATTCCACATATAGATATAGAAGTATGAAAGATCTTGGAGTATAACAAATTGCATTTAATTATTATGGCATCCCCAGAAGTTGTCTTTCAGTTTTGGACCTTTGGTGTTCAAAATACCATGCCTTGGATATTCCTTCCAAGTACAGTTAATGAACAAAGATATCCAGCATGAAAGATTCAAATTAATGTTGTCTGTCGTGTGGATACTTGTATTTACTTTCGGTGTTTATGTAGAGATTTCATTTTAAAATGCTGAAACATAGGTGAAAGAATTCATCTCCAATAATGTCATGATTTGGATGAAACCTGATTGTCCTTTTGCACATATATACATGCTGCATATCTTGTTCTAAAATTCCTGGTCGATCAGGGGATGGCGACCATGACCGTGACTGCAGGTGTGCCTAAATTAAGACCTCCAACCTGCATTGATGAAGGCAATTGCATAGAACCAAAGTCGTGGCAGATGGGTATTCTTTTTGCTGGTCTTGCATTTATGGCCATTGGAGCTGGAGGCATTAGACCATGCAACATTGCCTTTGGAGCTGATCAGTTTGACACCACAACAAAGAAGGGAAAAGCACAACTAGAAAGCTTCTTCAACTGGTGGTACTTCACATTCACCTTGGCCCTCGTGATTGCTCTAACAGGAGTAGTCTATATTCAGACCAATATCAGTTGGATTATTGGTTTTGCCATTCCAACTGGTTGCCTTTTTGTTTCCATTATGATTTTCATAATTGGACACCACACCTACATAATAATGAAGCCACAAGGAAGTGTTTTTGTTGACATGGTTAAAGTGATCACAGCAGCCATTAGAAAGTGTAATTTAACTGCGTCTGGGCACTTCTTTTATGATCCTGACCACCATGAATCAGGATCAAAACTCTCAAGCACCAAAAGGTTCAGTTGCCTTGACAAGGCTGCTATTATTGTTGATCAAAGTGAGTTGGACGACCAAGGCAAGCCCAAGAATGAATGGAGATTATGCAGTATTCAACAAGTGGAAAATCTCAAAATGTTGATTGGAATTATGCCTGTTTGGATAGCAGGAATTGGTTGTTTCATAACCATGGACCAGCAGGGTACAATTGGAATTCTTCAAGCGATTCAGACAACCAAAACCGTTGGATCTAGTTTCCAGGTCCCCCCAGGCTGGATGGGGCTCTCATCAATGATTGCTCTTGCAATATGGATATTCATTTATGAGCAATTTTGGGTACCACAGACAAGGAGAATAACAGGGAAAGCTAAAAGATTGTCAATAACACAGAGGATTAATATTGGTATTGTGATTGCAATTGCGTGCTCGTTAGTGGCTGCCGCTATTGAGAAGCAACGCCGGACGGCAGCTTTGAAACAAGGTTCCTTCGAGTCTCCTATGAGCATTTTATTGCTTCTGCCACAGTTTGTCTTATCAGGTTTAATAGAAGCATTTGCTGCAGTGGCACTGATGGAATTTCTCACCACGCAATTGCCAGAGTCCATGAGAACTGTTGCTGGAGCAATCTTCTTTGTCAGCTTATCTCTCGCAAGCTACTTGAACTCCATTCTTGTCAACATCGTCTACAAAATGACAAGAAAAGGTGGGAAATCACCATGGTTAGGTGGTCAAGACCTTAACAAGGATAAGCTTGAAAACTTCTATTACCTCGTGGCTGGCATAGGAGCCCTGAATCTCCTTTATTTCAATCTCTATGCAAGGCGTTTCGTGACCAATGCTCGTACTGATAAAAAAGAATCAGAGGGCCAAAAGAACAATGAAGAGCAAATATTGGATGTAGCATAAAAAAAAAAAAAAGATAAGATGGGTCCAGTCTAGGAATAGCCATACCTTAACCATTCTTTCAAAAGGAGGACCCAAGTTTGAATTTCTTGCTCTGAATTATATACTAATTGGGGATTAGAGAGAGCAAAAAAATAGAGGATCATGATTCATTATTGACACTCTGTTAATTCCTACTTCTTGTCTAGGGAGAGTCCTTTTTCCGGTTGCTTGGTTTTTTTTTCTAATGATTCATTTGTGGCAAATTCACACTTCTGGGAAGTGTTTTTTATCTCTTTCTACTGCCCTTTCTACTTCGAAAACGATGATACGTGGATCACCAAACTATCTATGCTGTACGGATGTAAGTTCTACTGCCGCATCCAATGTCTGATTTAACTGCTATCCAGTGGCCAAATAACTGACAGCCTTAGTGGTCCTCGTTTTATCACGTGGACCGGATGCACTTGTCAACTTTGTCACCAAGGGCCAGGGCCAATTGACAAGTGACAACAAAACAAATTTCCAATTCTAACGTATATATATATATATTTCCCTTCCGTCTCTCTCTTCATATACATGTGCATGTCCATAGCCATAGTAACCTTTTGACCTTTTCCTACATTTGCCCGCCATCAACCCAACGGCCCTCCGTCCAATCCTCCCTTGTCTATCCCCCACCTCCAACACCACCAGTAGTCCCACCAAGACCTCCCTCAGAGACGACCTTAAAGACCCCCGTCACCATCATAAACCAGGTCTCTCAAAAGCAAGACCAAGACAAAGACTCCCAGGATTCCACCACCACAACCGATAAAGGACCACATCAGCCCCCGCACGCCCTTCTAGGTCCATGGTGATAGGCACCATCTTCGGCCAAGGTGAAGGCCACGTCTGGTTTTGCTTACAACACGACCGTCTCTCCACAAAACCCTCTCTCCTCCTCGAACTCTCCATCCCAACTCACCGACTCGTCCAAGAAATGCGTTGTGGCATCGTACGCATTGCTCTCGAGTGTGATTGTTCTGATCTCAGCTCCAGTCGTCTCCACTCGGTCCCTATTTGGACCATGTACTGCAATGGTCGAAAGATTGGGTTTGCTACAAAAAGAAAAGCCATCTGATGTTAAAGACGATACAGTCTACAACAATTGGAGCCGGGGTGATACCTGCTCGTTTTGCGTCGTCAGGTTCGGAGGAGATCATGTGCACGGGGGCTAATTATGAGCATGTTGCTGGTAACGATGACTAGAGGAAGGTTAATTTTATGGGTCTTTTGTAATGTATTTTGTTGGTTTCTTCTGTTCATTGCATTAGCCTCTTAGTCATATCTAGCAGATGAATGGAATTGCTCAATATTACTTTAAAAAAAAAAAAAGGGGAAACAATGAAACCAACTCTTAGCTTTTTTAAATCTCCTTTGGAAGTCTCCATCAGATTTGATGTTCCACGAATGAAACAATGAAACCAAATCACAATTGAACATGTAGCTTGACAAGAATGACAGAAACCCTTTTTCTGATTCCACGAATAGTCTTGGTTCTAAAACAATACTACCTACAAAAAAAAAAATCGAATCATTACAGTCATGTTTTTGGAGTTCCAAATTGCATAATAGGGAATTGTAACTTCGATACTTCACAATCTCCCTCCCCGAAAAGATATATTTTGTTGCATCTTATTTGAAATTTTTTTTGGCACTTTTGTGTCACGCCAATTGTTTTGATCATAACAGTTCCTAATGCTTACAAATTTCAGTACTCGTGAAGAAAACATAACCCTTCAACTCGCAATTTCTACCTCCCATTATTTTCCTTTGCTATAAAGAATTCTCTTTTACATTGCACTATATAAAGTAATTAGCTCGGAAGCTTCTCCCAGTCATCAACTACAGTTAAAAGTTTTCATATAAAAAAAAAATAAACTAGAGTTAGAACTATAATTAGAAGTGATATTCCATTTTGCTCATAGAGGATGCGGGAAGGGAAAGTTGTAGTGCGTGAAACTGATATGCCAGAGGAGATGAAGAGCCGTGTAATGGAGTTAGCATATGAGGCTATTGATCTACATATGGTTTTCGACTGTCGATCCATAGTTCATTACATCAAACAGGCCTATTCTTAACCATGGAGCCTTCTGTTAGAAGTAGCATAAAGCTGTATATATATAGTGCATTCCTTTCTTTTTTTAGAGAAACATAAATTCGCCACCATAAAGAGATGGAAATATTGTATAATCTTTGTTTGGTTGAAGTAATCGAAGGATAAACTTATGTTTCAAATGATTTTTGATGTGATCATGGTATGCAACTTAATATTCTGTTCTTAACTACTACACTTTTTTTTTTAAAAGAGAGTAAGTGAATCCAGTGACTTTAGTTCAAGATGTTAAAACAAATTTTTCCTTGAGTTCTCACATAAAGATACAGTAAGTGTGAAGAATGTTAAGGAATTAGTCTCATGAAGCGTTTGAAAAATAATATTAATTTCTAAGCCAATATTCAACCCTCCGAACAGAAGTTTGATGAAGCTTATAGGCCGGCTTGGCATTGTGTGGTTGGGAAAGCCTACGGATCTTGGAAGTTTTTTTTTCTTCCATGTGGAGATGATGGAGTTTCTCTCCTTCAAGTATGGCAATGACGTCACTGAAACCAAGGCAGAGGCCATCGGAGTGCTGCAGAAAGCCAAGAAAAATGATTCATAAGAACTGTACAAATATTAAAGTTTTGGTGGATTTCAATCTAACATCTTTTTCAATTCAACTAAACTCCCCCTAGCCGAAAGAACTGTCTAGCATCATACCAAGGCTGAAGGGCATTCACATGTTTAAGTATTAGTATTATTCTTGGCCCATATGTTCCTTGCAGGATCTTAAGAACATGTTAGACATGTTCAGGTTTTGAAGAAAATAAAATGGTTTCAAAAATGAATGCTGGACATATGATGGCAGAGATGTTGTTGAGTTCTCAGTGTTAGCCACAATACTGTGATGTCTCCTGTATGAAGAAACCGCACTGCTTGAGAACTTGAACCTGCAAAATCATGCCCACAAACTGCCAGAGGATGAGGAAAAATTATTTACAAATGCAAGGACAAACGGTTTTCAACCGTCTTTGTAGTGCAACTACCTCAAGTAGTTTACTACCTAGGGTTGGACAAATAATTTTGTATTGCCAGTGAGGAAGAGATAATCTGCATCCCGAGGACTAGATACAGCAAACATGTTGATCCAAACCTCAGGACGCAGATTACCCAGTCCTTACCGGTATGAACTCCCCAAAGAAAATAAATATGTTGAAGGAAGATTGAGGAAGTAAAAACAAAATGCAGAGGTTAAGGCCTTCATGCATGAAAACAGAAATTTATAGTGGCTCCTAAAGGTAACATGAAGATTTATTCCATAAATTGGGGACTAAAAACTGTGAAATTGAGAATAAAGGGGGATAAGGTGCTCAAATGCGAATCATCGTTGATTCTGTTCTTCTCAAAGCAATGATGGCCTTACTTTCCATAGACAATGATGGCGGTATATATGATCTTGACTGTTTTTTCCTCGTGACTAGAGATCTTCTCTGGCTACTTATAAAAGTTTCTCCTCAATTTATTATAATACTTCTATTGAAAATACTGAAGAAAATGAAATGTCTTTTGCCAAAACCTATCACTATGAAACAACAAGGGTTGTAGTTTGCTTGAAACTTATTTTTCCAATTGAAGAATCTTGAGCTTTATAAGCACATCTTCTAATTTGGGGAGCTCTCTCTATCGAACATAATAAACTGTTTAAAAGGAAAGGATTGCCACATTTACATGTAGCATCTGGTTTCATGATGCTTTAATGTGCGTGGCATAGCATATTCTATTCTCTTGGCCATTGAAAGCCACCTTACTGTCCACATCTCACAAAGGGCTTGTTTGGCTAGGAAGATTTGAGAATGATGCATATGAAGACTCGAGCAAGGAGTTAATGATCAATACTTAATTTCCTTGTCATGTTGCAGATTATTTAACTAAAGTGAAGGAGGGTCAATCACATGCTTACTTCGCTGCCTTTACAGATGCAGTTGTGTTAGTAATTTAAGCAGATGGAATTGCCCTCTCTTTTGAAACAATCCAAAATTGAATGCCACAATTGAGCGCTTCACAACTTATGGTGTGCAACCAAACCAAACACAATCTATTGCTGCCTTCACCAGAATTTCCTTCCCTTCAGAATATTATGTCATTTCGGATGTCATAAGCAGCCATCAATCATCATGTGATTGATCAATGTCACGCTGGTGGACAAGGAAATGGAGCATGTGTCTGATTTCATTTGTGTTTTTGGAAGCAGCACAATGATAGAATCCTTGAACATTATTTTTTCTGCTATTAAGCTGAAAGAAGCAAACCGAATTCTGACCTAAGAATAAATTCCATGGTTACTTTCCACCTGCATGAATGTTATGCTAATAACTTCACCACAACACTTGCTACAATGTAATGTCATTGTTATGTATGCGATCCGGTGGCCCTCCTTGCTCATGCCAGGCCTTCCAATCAGGGGCCTGGCAAATAGAATAAAACTATGATTTGATAAATTGAATGTATTGACAGAAGGAATGATGATCGCTTTATATTTTTTTTACAAATTGTAATGCTTCGTTTCTAATGGAAGTGCAAGCAGCAAAATCCACCTGAACATCCCTTTCCTTGATCTCAAAAGCTTACAGTTGGAACAGGGTAATACATATTCGAACATGAGTTCACTGCTGCTTGGAGAATGAAGATCGGTAGTGTCTTGTCTTCTTTTTTCATGTTATTTTTCCCTCTTTCCTATTTGTGCTATGACCAATCGAAACTGCTATTAGATTGCAAATATTTCAGCGAAACAAGAACAAATTTGTGACCTATTAACAATTGCCTTTGCATAAAAACTGAGAGATTGATCTTAGCTCTTAGCAAAAAGTTGATAACTTCAACCAACGCCATTTAATTTCATTTCATTTTCCATACATGGAAATTAATCAAGCATAGCTTTTCGTCAATAACCATCGTTTGTAATTTAATATCGCTGCCAATACAAAGGAATTGAACACTGGCAGCCAGCCTGACAAGCACCGACGCAGGTAACAAAAAAGTCACATAAAACTATGATGATGACATGATCATCTATAATTGCTAATTCTCTGAATGTTAAGGCCTAAGTAAATTGAAACTAGATGGTGGATATAATTATCCTCACTGTCACAGTGCTAATTACCTATAAATAAAAAAATAACCCACGGCAGAACCTCAAAATTTACCACCAGGGTTTCCCAGCTAATACCACGGAAAGAACAATTTGTTGACCTACCTTCTATCTTTAATTGACCACTTTCTTTTTTACCCTTTTTTTTTGGGTTTCCTCAGCATCTTGAGAACTGAATGACTGACTGTAACAGACAATTTATTCCAGAAAAGGAAGCCTGAGATGAAGCTAATAACTGGTAGGGATGCTTGATAGAAGCATCTTCAAAGTCTCATAGGTCATGAAGACGATGCCTACACCAGGAACCACCTTGTAGTACTCAGGCAGAATCCCTCTATACAAGCCGTGAAGGCCTTCAGATTGGATTATATGCCTGAAAGTCCCAACCAACCCAGTTTTATAAACACGGGCTTGCCCAGCAGCCCCTTCTAATTGCATACGTCTCCTCACTAGATCGATAGGAAATGTCGCTGCAAATCATCAGTGATGAAAAAGAAAGTCATGAAGAGATCAGAAATAGCTTCTAAATAATTACTAGTACTTATTTTATTTATATATTTGCCCACTGGGCTTTGGGATATGGAACGAAAGTAACATCTTATAAACTCCACCCCTTCCCTCCCCCTCCCCCCATCCCTAAGGTATGTACTTGAGATTCCCAAGTTGAAAACCCTAAATTCTAACCATTGGATTGTGTCAACTTGAGAAAAATAAGTACCAAAAGGGCAAAAACATTCATCAAGAAAATCTTAATCCAATCAACGGAAGGAAATAAACCCCTTAGCCCAACTATACCAAAATAGAGTGCAGAGAGTCAAACCAAAGGGCAGGGTTACAGATTACTAACCTGTTGATGATGCAATGCCTGAGAGACTGCCACAGGCAAGACTAACCATAACAGTGGAATCATTGGGCCTAATGTAAAATCAAAGAAATTTCAAACAGGTTACAGCTTAAGCGCACCAAGCAGAGACACCAACATAAAAGGGCACATGCTTTTGATCAATCTACACCAATAAGAATTTTTACCTTTGCAACTGCCAATAATATCTCAAAGACTCGTACACTGAAAAGCTTATTGCTATACTTGGTCCAACACCCTGCATCACATGTAGCATTGCAAGAGCAATTATAGACAATGAGATAGGAAAATAAAGAATTAAAGAAGAAAAATTCATATACCAATAATGTTGCTCCAAGTCCTTTATACAAGCCCAAAAATCCCTCTTCCCTGCAAATGGTATGAAAAGCATGCCAAATACCTTTATAGTATATTGAATTTCTCTGCAAAGTTCAGAAGAATAATTGGATTGGAGGGTAAGAGAAAAAAAAAGAAAAGAAAAATAATACATATCAAATGGGAAGCAATAGACCACATGTGACCTTGTTCAAAGGGTATGCAAGTGCTTTATTCACTCAGGTATTACTGATATTACCTGTGCTGCAAGACGTGTCCTTACAAGATCCAGTGGATATGTAGCAGAGGCAGCAGTCATTCCAGACAACCCACCGCCTACAAAGTGCACACATAGATTAGCACTGGCATTTTTCCTTTCATTTTCCAGGCCGAGAATAGATTGCAACAACTGCGAAAAACAAAGGAATGAATGAAATGAAAAAGACTGTTGGGAACAAAGAAAACAAAGTCATGACTAAAAAAAAAAACAGAACATACACTCTTGTAGTGTTCATAGGCGTAGAAGTTGACTGAAGAATAGGGTAGACGATGTGCAATGGTAACCAGATTGCCTTTCCAAAATGCTCTGAACCCTTCTTCATTAATAATGCGTGAAGCCTCTCGCCATATGCTAGCCTTGCTCACTGATGATACATCTGAGTGCATTCCTTGCACCTGAGAAAAGAAGAGATCATTCAGCAGTTAATGTTAAGGCAGAACGTATTCCCATGCTTAATGCAACAATAAGCAATATTAAACTCATGACCAACATTTAAAAATATATCATTCAAAATCACTAAGTTGCCACTATTATTCTGTTATTTCATGCTCAATGTGACCCTAATGCCTATACAAAAGGTGAGCATAATTTTAATCCCTTCATCCAAATCCACCAAAATTGTGAAAAAAGTGCTTGTTTTAATAAACATATTTCCAACAAAAGAAAACCAAGAAAAAAGAGAAGAAATTCAACTTCCCAAGCCAACTAAAAGATATAAATAATCCTCTCCATCTTTTACCTCATTTTTTTATTGAAACCTTAAAAATAAAATTCAGAACCAATTTTTTAAAGCTATAATTTTCCTTTAAAAAGTTTCATAAACTAATCCCAACCCGAAATAAAGAAACCCCCTTTCACCGACCCCAGCTCTGCTTAAACGAAAAATATCAACAAATTAATAAATTCCCAGATCAAATTACCACTAAAAATCAATAAAAGAATCAACATTTCTGATAAACTAAGCAAGCAACTGTAAACCAAACCTGAAATAAGATGGTGAGACGAGCAAGAGGGGCTGTACAAGTCTTGCTAAAAGCACCAGCAATACCACCAGCAAGAAGCTGTTGAATAGTCCCAATCTGCGGATTCAAACCCTGCTTTGAAGAATGCCCATGTTGCTGTTGCTGTTGCTGTTGCTGCTGTAAGAACTTTCTAGTGCCGGCATCTACTACAGCTCCGTGGGCTGAATTCAAAGCCCTTTGGCCTCCTTCAACTACCACCCCAACTCTTGCCTCCATATTCATAATATCTCAAAGCTTTCTCGTTTAAAAAAAAAAAAAAAAAAAACCTTTTTTGGGGGTTTTGGGTTTCCGGGATTTGATGTCACATTGGTTTGGAAGAAGGAAGTGGGAAAATTCAAGGAAAGGGAAACAGGGAAGTCATTTGCTCACTTTGGTGAAGTCTGTGGTTTGAAGGAAACGAACATTGGAGAAACCCTAAAGCACTCTAGCGCCATATGATTATTGTCCAATTGTATAATGACACGTGGTATTTTGTCACGTTAACTTATTTTATTATAAAAAATCTCGTTAAAATTTACGCATGTCAGTCACATATTACACATGCGATGGTGAGATACCATATATTTATATAATTTTTAAAATATAAAAAATTTATTTTTTAAAAAACTAAAACAAAAAAGAAATTTATTTCTTTCTCTCTCCCGATCTCATTTTATCTCCCTTTCGTATTTGGTCCAGTTTGACCAAATTCAGGGCAGATTCGAAATGTAGAGGTTTTTGAAATTGAATAATTTATTGTTCATAGAGTTAATATGAAAGTGAAAAACGTTTCATTAATTTGAAATGTGTTTTTCTCATGGCTTTTGATCCTTTGGCCTAAATCTCTTTATACAATGAACCATAGAAGAGCAATTGCATGCTCATTTTCCACGTTTAGCTTCAAGCAACAAAATCCTAAGGCTTTTTATTTTTTATTTTTTTCCAACCCCCTCAAGCAAAAGACGAGTGAGATCAATAATGACTTCCAAATTCCATGTTTTTAATATGAGATTAAATTTCTACTTCAATTAATTTATCTTTAAGGTACATTCAAGCATTCAATTAGTTTTGAAGGCAAACCTGGTGATTCCTGTAGGATAAGAATGCATTTTCACCGAATGAACAGGCTCTCACTATGTCTACTTAAAAAGCAAAAAAAAATGAAATTCCATGGGTGAGGGCAATGAACAAATTCCAATTTGTTAGCCCATGGAAGCAAAAATGCACATCTTCATTTGAATGGACCGAACACTAAAACCAAGCTTCTGTTGGGTTCGGTTTTTTCGTAAATTGCCCATGAAAGCAAAGGACCAGGCCCAAAGACATATCTTCATGTGCTTCAACTTCACTTTTCTTTCAGCCCAATGATTATTTGGGCTTTTGAACAAACTGCCAAGCTTAAGCAAAAGGGTAGCATCAACCCACATCTCAATGGGCTTCTATACGCCTTATCATATTGATATTCCGCATGGCTTATGGCTTAGGCTTAAAGATTAAATTCTTAATCATACCAAATCCTTTTTCATCTCATAAACTCTAATTTCTTGAGTTCTCTCTTGGTCTGGTAGATGGATGAAGAATGTTCCCAGCAATGAAGAAGACCCAATTCAGCCGAAGGCTCCTTTGATGCCCGAAGCCTACCTCGAATCACCGGCCAGCTTTTTAAGTCCACTGTCTCCCCCTTTACTAACCATGATTAATTGCAAAAGTAAGCATGATAAGATGCCTAACATAACTGCTGGATTTGCAATCTGCTGCTATAATCATCATCGTTCATCGAATAAGGAAAAAAAAAGAAGCTGCTTTTGATTTGATTTTGAGCTCAAACACCAAGCCACAGCAACAACAAAATTTTTGCAAAGAGCATGCGCCTTGCAGAGTTGCATTTGCATTGATCTTTCCATATCACAGCTTTCACCAATCTAGCACTGGACCACACTCTTTCCTTTCTCTCTCGAGTTCTGAACTCTGAACCAAAGCAAACAAACAAAGAAACCCTCCACCTTACCGCTCTCCCCCGCCTCTTTCGGGGGCCCCAAAGGAAAAGGTCGAAATCAAGGCCTGGCTGCCTCTGCCTGCCCTCAACGTAAGCAATATCATCATAGAATAATGGTAACACTTTTTTTTAGGGTAAGCTTGAAAATAACAAAACCAAAAAGGCTTCAACCTAAATTATTAGATGCCTGACAGACGCTATTTTTGATAACTGGATGATATTTGGTTGTTAGCCATCGCACAGACAGCAATCTTTTTTTTCGTTCGGTTCATTTAGACAGCACTCTTTTGATGGCGTATAGCCACCTACAATCGAATTGGTAATGTCATCATCTCCAAATTAAGAATTCCATTTTGAAGGTCTATTTTACAACCTTCACAAACATTCGTTAAAACAAGATGGGAAGTAGCATATATCCTCCTTTGAAGCGATGCAAATGATTCATGGGGCCGGTACAGTGAATGACAGAATTACGGGGTTCAGACACAGTCCAATGGCCAACCTTGATTTGATGCCTCAAAACGTATGATTCATCATCCTTGATTTGATGCCTCAAAACGTATGATTCATCATGTAAACTATAAATTTACCTTTGAAATTTACACCAATGTCGGTAGATATTTCTTTAAGAAAATATACACCGTAATTTGATGGCATAGTCCAATTACACCGTAAAAGAGGACAATCATTTAGACTACTGTTTCAGCTTTGCATTCTGTTTATCTACGTGAAATTTCGTTAGTATAATATATTATTCAATTAAATAATGACCAGAGTTTTTACTCTGAACATTTTTCATTAACCCACAAAATCATGTAAAAGCTGCCCTCCGATGATATCCCTTCCAAAATGCCGACTCTGTGCTTCAAAACCACCAATAACATACCCATCACTGCTTACTTCAAGGCCAAGGCCAAAACGCTGAGCTCCATTTATAGGAAACGGCTGTGATAAGCCAATACCATTATTCTGATGAAGACCCAGTGTTAAGGAAACACCACCACTTCCACTTGCCATGCTAACGCCAACACCATGGGGTTGGCTTGGCAAGCTGTTGTAAGACAAGTTATGCGGTTCACTTCCCATGGGCATATCTGGAAGTTCACTTCTAGTGCAATTGGATGGGATATATTGAACCTTCTGGGTGGAGGTAGATGGATCTTCAGATGCCAGAGAGTTCGCCGAAGACAAATGAGCACTTGACTTGTTGGCATTCCCGTCCTCCTTTTGCACAGCTTTTTGAGCTTGTCGTGTTTCTAGCATGTGTATTTCTTCCACCATCGGCTTCCAAAGCCTTACTCTTGCATTTATAAACCAATTTGAGACCTGGTTCACAAGAGTATGACCTCAAAGTTAAATTGAACACAGCTCCCAATTTGATGTGAATATGGAATTTAATAATTTTATAGAAACTATTAATAGTTGAAAAATGATACACACTATTAATAGTTAAAAAAATGATACTATTAAAGAACGTAGAAATGATGATAAATGGCACACCTGGCTACGTGACAGGCCAGTTTGTTTTGCCAACATTAGCTTGTCTGTGTCGGTTGGATAACTGAACCATAGAGCATAAACGTTAATGCACTATTGCATATATATAAGATTATCAAGGAAACAGGATTTTCAAATTAAAAGGAAAATAAATTCCCGAAAACAGATTTATCTATGTAATTCAAGTACTTACGGGTGTAGAAAGTGTTCAAATAACCATGCTCTAAGTACGGTTACTGCACGCTCAGGAAGGCCTCGTTGAGGCCGCCAAACTGGTTGGTGCTCAAGGAACCCAGAGTTATGAACAGGTCGATTATAACTTCTGTCTGTGCTTCCAAACTTTGGACCCTCACCTTTCCCAGGGCTTATCTGACCATGAGCTTTATTAGTGCACTGAAGTTGGTCGGTGATTGCATTTTTCAGACACCTGAAATGTTTAGACATGGCTTTCAAAGCCAAATTTGCATATGGAGCTGCATTGCCCAGTCCATCAACATATTCAAACGATGCAACTACAGCTTGCATCTGTTGATAGTATTGCTTATACATACTGTAAACCTAATAATGACAAAGACGGTTAGAAAGTTGCCAAGTGTAATGATGTTAAAAAACATAATCCCATTAAAAATAAGGTAGCTGAATTACAAACAGAAATAAAAAAACTGACCCTAGAATCACTGTAATAGTTTCTAAGCTCTGATTCAGGAATGTTCAGATAAAACATTGCTTTAAATTTGGATTAGCAACCAGTAAGAAACTTAAAAAAACTTCCATTCACTTCACTCCATCCATAAAGTCCGATAAAATTACATAAAAAATGTCATTCAGGTTTACGCAATGCTGGAAATTGAACCTCTAATAAAGCACCAAATGGAAGATAGAATACTGTAAATTTTGGATAATACACCTAACAAAGCCAAATAACAAATAAGCTGCAATTCAATGCCCCTAGTGGAGATATAACCATAGCTTCTGAAAAGGACAAATATTATGACCATGATCTAATCAAAATCATTATTTTAATGTTACTTTCTTCTGTCATAAGGTCAACTACCCAAACAACTTCTGTAAGAAGGGAAATACATAGGAGACTAATAGAAACCATGCAACATGTATTGAAAAGAGAAACTCACTGGTCACACATACTATTTAGACCTTTTATTGTTACTGAAACAGCTTTTTAAAAAAATATAAGGAAACTAAGGTTACTGCATAACTAGGACATTGGTTCAAGTGTCCTAAAGCTTTAAAGGACAATAATACAAAGGACATTATAACCCACTATAGTGCCCCATGCGAAAGTCACGGCAAGAACCTTTTGCGGTAGACAGTCAAAGCACCCAGGAAGAGAAACGTAGTGCATCCTTATTAAACCCCTCATACCACCCTTTCTCTTCCCCTAAAAAGGAGGAAAATTAGCTTTCCAGGCTAGCGTGATGTTATAAGAGATGGACACTTATTCAGACTCTGAATTTTGCCCCCACATTTAGAACGTCCAATCACTTGTCTATTCTCTCTATATCCCAAACAAGAGTCCAGCAAACGCATAGCTTGATTAGCTTCAGGAAATTCAACTCAGGAATTAGCTTTGAAAAACAAAAATATCCTTGAAGGAAAGACTCAAATGAAATCACAAGAAGCCAAAAAACACAAAGAAAATAGTTAGAAGCTATAAGACCAGTCAATAATTAATCCCATAAATCAAAAGTTATCAAATTAGAGAAAGATCATTCTCCGTGACTTTGAAGAGTATCAATCATGTAAAACTTATTCAACAAGCAAAGCTCTAAAATAATCACTCAGAACCCTTCTGTTTTAAATCACATTATGTTCAATGAAACTTTTCTCCTTGGGCCGGACCAATATAAATCTCTCCAGATTACGAGATAACTAGTTATTATTTTGCAAAGTACCATCAAAACATTTAAAGTACCACAATCGCTTATACTTCCAGATAAAAGTAGCAAATTCTAAATTTCTAGGTTTTTAGCTGGCCATATCTTTCAATATAGGAAACTAATTGATTTATCCAATTCCATAATATTTTTAACTCCTAGATAAAAAGTGGACTTACTAAAACATAGAGGAATCAGTCCATCTATAAATATATATATATATTTCTTTGGCACCAGAAACAGGACATTCACCTGTTAGCTAGTACTAATATTACAGTAATTAAACTCAGCTAAGCCCTATCCCGCAAAAAGTTCAAACACCTTATGATCATCTACTCATCTAGGCTTGGAATAGCCAATTATGCTTTCCATAAACTTGTTGAGAGTAAAAATCTTTTCAAATGGATTCCTTCAACCACCATAAAGCACATTAACCCCCAAACTTGGCGACATTATCACTTGTTAGAACTCTTTCTATGGCTGTCAGGTACTTTATAACACCAATCTTCGTGCATATATTCCCTCCTATCACCTTTTCATAAAAAACTTATTTTTTGATCATCGAGACCGTTCATCAAATACAAGAATCTAATTCATAGAGTATACAAATCAAGGAAAGGCTTTAAACTACTAAGAAAACTTTCATTTTACAAAATCACTAAAGATAGTTTGATTTATGCATGCAACACCACAAATTGCATGTTGGACAAGAACTAACTAAACCTAACGCCATTAAAGAACGTCAGACATTTTTATTTTAATAACAGCCAGTGATGACTTCTACAATGACAGAAATGCTTTGGTTTCATAAAGAACCATCTCCAAGGAAAATTTAAAGGGGATAAGGACACGGATCCAAATAACACTTTAACATACTACAGTGTTAAGGCCAACTTGCAGAAAAGAAAATCAAGACAGCATACCAAGAAACAGAAAAATAAAAAGTACATCAAAACAAGAATTGCACGTCGAAGCAAAACTCAAGAATTATTCATGTCAAAGTGCAATTCAGAAGACATGCAAATGAAAAACCAACATCTTCAAATCAGAGGAGCAAACCTCGTCTAGCATTGAAATTAGCCTTGACTTCTTTCTTCTACTCTCACCACCATCTCCCCCTCCAAGAGGATCATTAATAATTCCAGTAGCACTCAAATTCTGCAATGGAGGCTCCATCAAAGAAGAATCGGGACTAATTTTTTCAGGGTAAATTCCCCTACCCACATAGCAAAGTTCTTCTAATAACTGTTGTGAAGGCCTCAAAAACCTCGATCCCTTCAAAATCAAAGCATAACCCGTGAAAGGCCCGAGACGGACCGAGCTCCTGGAAACCTCATTCGTTGTAGAAGCACTAGCACCAATAATGCTTGGAACCATATATCCACTGGAAGTAACCTTATCAATATAGATAGCAGACTCGTATCTTTGTACATTTAGCTCCAAAGGAAGATTGTTTTGTTGGGTGTTATGGGAAGATAAAGAAAGAGACAAGCCTTGACCAGTGGTACTAGACTCACGATTCAAAGGTTTGGGTTTATAAACCACGACTTCACCACACTGATCAAAATCTCTTCGGTTATGAAGGTTTGGCGGCGTATAAAGAAAAGGGTTGTTATTCATATCTTGAATCGAGCTAGGATTCAATGGTAGAGACGATTGTGGATCCAAATAAGGGTGATGAGAAGTTGAGGAAGAAGAAGAAGAAGAAGAAGAAGAAGAACCGTTAACATGCCGACCAACAAAGCCCATGAAATTCACACCGTCTTTAACAACACAAACGGGACCGGTTTTACCAGAAGCCGAAGCAGAAAGCTGGTTGGTCTGTTGGTGAAAATCATGGCTACCAGCAGTAGCACTAGCGTTATTGGCAACGCAAGTTAACAAATCGGAAGAAAGAAGAGAAGGGTCGTACAAAGGAAGTAAACCTGAACAACCTGAAACAGCAACAGCCGTTGAGTCAACACAAGCTGGGTGGTTTTGAGCCACAATTCTCATCTTATCTCTTCTGCTTTGTTGTGGAACATGATAAGGCTCGAAACCCTCCGCCATAGCCACACAAAAAAAAAAAAAAAAAACCCTCCCTAGCTAAAACACTAGAGAGACACTTACAGAGTTTAAAAAATATATATATGAAAACGAGTAAGATGAGTAAAGCAAGAGAACCAGCAACAAAAAAATTAACAAGAAGAAGAAGAGTATATGCTTGATTTTTTACAAGGTTATATTTTGGCCAGAATATTAAAGAAGAATTTGACGATCATTAAAAAGAGAGAGAGAAATAACAGTGAGAGAGAAAGGCATGGATTATTGAAAATTGTAAACGATGAAAGGAAAGGTTATCATGATCTTCCTCTGAAGCTGAAAACATGGCAGAGAAGAGAGAGCTGGCCCAGGTTAGCAATAGCGGTGATACGTTTGAAATATTGAGATTTTGGGTATGGGGTGCATACGATACGACCCAATCTTTCTTACTCACTTTCAAAAGTATCAACTCAAACAAAACCTTTGTTACAAATTTTTTATCTCTGGTATATTTCTCTCTCTTCCCATGGAGAAACTGATCCGGTGATCCTAGGGTTTCGAGAAACCGGAGGATGACCGGCCATTTCCGGTAATAATTGAACGAACTGTGTTGCAGATATTTCTGAAAAAGTTTGGGGAGGTTTTTTGTCGTTTTATCAAATCTTTTGGTTTTCTATGCCCAGGTGTTACTCTAGCCAGAAAATCAAAAAGAAAAAAGGGGCTTTTTTATTATTACTATTACTTATTCTATACGTACCTTTATATTTTTATAATATAAAGTCAGATTATATATACCACTCTTATATTCCAAATTTTTTATTTTAATATATTTAATGTTAAAATTGAATTTTTTATAAAAAATTTCATATTTTTAATGTTCAAATGACAAAAGGATCATAAAATGTAAGAGTCTTAAGTGTTAAATAAAATATATTTTTGAAAATTAATATGATTTTGATTTTCAATGTTTTTTTGTTTACTATGAATAAACATGTGAGTTGTATAAATAAATAAATTTTGCGGAAAAATTTTTATTTTAAAGTGAATAATGATTTTGTTTTAGTTATTAAAGTGATGAGAAGAAGTACGGAATAGGTGATGATGCACGTGAGAATAAGGGAACAGTAGGATGAATGAAAGGAAAGGCTGAGTTTGCCATTCTCAACACTCATCCTCCCATCCCATCCGCCAATGCTTCCGATTCTCGCTTTACGAAGTTTTTTATCTCTTATTTACTATACTTATTATTTTGTTAAAAAAATCTTTAATAAATGAAAAAAATAAAAATGCAGTTATATTTTTTTATTCTCAAATTTTGAATTTCGTAAGTATTCATATTTTTTATGAGCTAAGGGAATGATTAAGCTTTATTCCATTTGGATTGGATTTTAGAATTGATTATTATCACTTATTTATTCATTTATTTATATGATTCTCTTTAAATCATATATATTTATTGTGGATTACGATTTTTTTAATATTATGTTTACCTCTAAATAAGTTTAATTTTGATCGTTATTTTATAAAATTTTTAATTGCAAAATTTATAAAAATACTTTTTAAATTTCTAATTTAAATATAATAATTTAATAAACAATAATCAATATTATTTGAAAAAAAATAAACATGGGCAAATAAATAGAACAAAGGGATGTGATGTGAAAACCTTTAATTTGTTAAACGTAGCAAAAAGGCTTGTATGCATATTAAAAAAAATTAATATGAAATGCAAAAAATGACTAATAATAAAATTAGATTTTTAAGTAAAGAATTTTAAACGTGAAAATTGAAAACAGCATGCATGTGGAGTCTGATGGGAGCGTACGCTTTTTCATTCATCCAATGCACAAGGACACTATTGATAGACAGCAGAGGTTGCTGAATAAATTTAAAAGCAATTCTGGCAAAGTTTCATATATATTATTGTCAATGGCGTCCCTTAACTGAAATTAAAAGAAAGGGCTGCAAAGGGTTCGTACAAAAAGGACAAGTGTACGAGCTAGAGCTGTTAAATTTGCTCATCAGCTTGGGGCTGAACGGTTGAAGTAGGTGCGCAGTGTAATTTGCCAACCGACGAAAGGAAATGGCCAACATGATGGAGTATTTACTATAAAATCAATGGCAAACGTACTATGCTCTTCTGAGCAAGTACGATCCACTTTAATTTAAAATCAAGGATTCTTGCTTTCCTTTCTTACGTATATGGAAACTCACGGCAGATTCAAATAATAATAATAATATATTAACGAGATTAATGTATAATTGATTTACCATAAGATATTTGAAGTTTATTTTTTTTAATTGAGAAGAACATAGATGATTAGGAATAAACAAGGTTGGAGTAAACCAAGTTTATTCATAAGCTCAAGTTATATAACAAAAGATAATTTTGAATTCATTGATTAAGGGTTTTTTTAAAATAGCAACATAAATATGAATTCAACTAAAATTAGTCATTTATGTGTAATTTTGTTCTCTATAACATATATTCTTTCTATTTTTTATTTTTTTATACTAATTACAATTAAAAATATCAAAAATTTTTATATGTTTTTTTATTTTATTCAAATAATTAAAATAAAGGAAGAGAAAGAAAAGAGTTTGGCAAAAAAATTCGATGCAATAATATAATATTAATGATATGAAAAGGAGTTGACATAAGTCCAAGTGCCAAAATGTTCTGGCATAGATTATACGAAGAGTTATGCTTCAACCACTTTGTTTTGTTGAATGCTTCCTTGTTTTGATAGGGTTACAGACAGAAGACTGATCGATTTGCTCACCTCTTTATATGTACGACAATATCTAAAACACAATCTTTTGCTTGGATCGAGGAGTTTGATACCAGAAAAAAATAAAAAATAAAAAATAAATGTTCCCAGAGATTGCCGCGGCTCGACGAAATGGGATTTCCAGTTTCTTTCAAAGCTTTTTCAGCAGGATCCGTACACTTTATTAATTCTACAAACAAAAAAGTAACCACCATTTTCAATTGCCATTTTTCTAGTAATTTTTTACCACTTCTGAAACAAAATTTTTGTTTTGTTTGATTCTGGAATTAGGGTGTCTCACTCGAGAGTTAATACATGCATATTTTATTTTGAAGCAATCCACTTTTCCTTCTTGGTCGCATGCAGATTAAGCGATCGATGACTTGGATAATAATTTGCGTTGGTCATTTTGATCATTTTTTTTTCCCTTCAAACAGAACATGGAGGATTTTTTAAAATCACGAGAAAGGGCCGACATGGAAAAGAGAGGACTGTAATGGCGTCAGCAGTTGCGTGGAGAAGGTGAGGATCCTCTCTTTCCGCTGTAAGTATTTCTACAATCTAAATGAGCAATGAAAAACTTTGTTCAAAGTTCAGATAAATTATTAAATACGAAAAGAAAGTTCTGATTGAGTTTTGCCAATGAGTACTTCCTCCTCATCTTAGCACCGTCCGATGCTCCCTCGATGTTGGTGTTCAAACATGATCCATCCCTATTCAGCCCGTTCGCTATTATTACAGTATCTCCTGTTTGGCGACCCCCGCAGTGACTGCTGGTTTACACTTGTTGGATTTTTTCACCGGCTTAGCTGAATTGCGTTTTCCAACCCCAAAAAAACTCACTGAAAGGACAAAAATGCTTGCACGAAACGCGTTTCGTTAACAAATATGCAAGAAAAACAGTACTAAATTCCTATCTTGGTTTCATGCAGAGTTTATTAAGTGAAGAAAATAAACTATTTTTGGCCTTGACCATCAATTACCGTTTCTTCGAAAGAAAGATTTACTCATTTGGCCATGTAGCCATTAACACCCATGACTGGTTTCCCCTTACCTTCCCTTTTATAATTACAAGATAAAAGACTACTGGCACCGCCCTGCAAATTGCTCCGAGCCTTTCAGCATATCCCAAGCAACTTTATTGAAAACCTGAAAGAGACTTCCATTCACCGATTTAATAACCCACCGTATATCTCCGGCACACAAGAAAACTGTACAACTAACGGTACAAATCAATCTTTTCCTTGTTTTTTCCTTCGATTGAACTTTACTCTTTGGATATAGATATAAGAAATTGTTAAAATTTCAAGCCAGCTGAATTCTTTGTTTAATTACATGGTTTAAATATTTGTCAAGAATAGTTCATTTATCAAAGAGCAATATTTTGGTTGTTTGCAGAGTAAATGGACCTGAATTTCACTAAATCGAAATAGACCGCCAGCCAGCAGTTAAACATTGGTGACCGATTGGGTGGCAGCCTCATGACAGAAAACAATGAACTTACCTTTGGATTTTGGAGTTATTAATTGGTTCGAGAAGTTTAAAAAACATTGTGGACTTTGTGGGTGATGATGACTAGCTATGATCCGAATACGGTAATTCTTTCAACCCTTTTTCTGATATTTGAATTGGCTGGTCCAGCCGCCCAGCTCAGTGCCTCAATCTTCAAACTGTTCCTTCTACTATTCGTTGCAACTCGTCAACATGCAATATCTCTATCTCTGCATGTCCTGCTTGGTAAGTTCATTGTTTCATCACATCCTAATTGTCAACTTTGCATTTAATAGTTCTTTTTATTGTCAATCGATTTGTGAGATTTGTGATGCAAAATATATCCTAGGGTTTTTGTTCTTAAGTCGTCAATTAATCAAATAAAAAAATAGATGAAAAGAAGAGCTGATGAATCATATGATAGAAGATGAAGTCTTTTAAGTACCTATACACATTTTTAGTTAATAAGATGAAACAATGATAAAGTGATATCTAGCTAATTGGCTGCTAATCGGGCCCCTAATTGCTTGAAGAAGAACAAAATCTGTCAGTGTGATTGATCCTCCAAGAACCTGCATGAGAGAAGACAGCACAGACAACAATATTAGATGTATGTCATTTAATGCAATGCTATATCAGTTGAGGCAAGTGGAAAATACTCACATGGCCCCAGAAAGAGGGGTAGCTATAAGCTTCGAGTATGTTAAAGAGAGTAAATAATTGTTGTGGCAGCTGGAAGCACTACAACTCAAAAGTGTTCGAAACTGTTTTCCAGTCAAAGTTTTATGAAAAAGTGTTGAAATCTTCAATTATCAAGATAAATGAAGTTCTTAAGACAAAAATTGAATGGATTACACTCACCAACCGAGTGATTAAATTCTAAGCCTCTCAAATTAATTATAACTATAGCCTGGCAGCCAGACGTACAATATTTTCTATTCAAAAGAAATTCCAAGTTAAAATGTCCTTGTCTATTACTTAATATAATAACTAGTCTTAAGAAAAACAAAACATATTTGGACTTGAGCTACAGTTAGTCTTTTTAGCTTGGGGTTTAAACTGATCCATGTGATTTCGGGAACCTGTCACCCTTTAGATCAGCTAGGCCTCATTGAGCTTATGACTTGTTAGGAACAAATGCCTGCCAGGCTACCATTATTATCATAGCCCAAGTCAATTTGACCTATCAATTCAACCCAGAATTATATAAAGTGAATAGGTTGGTAGATAGGGTCGAAGCCCACTCCCATTAGAAAAGGAAGCGGCTCATAAATACTTGAAGCTAGGACCTGAAGGCCATTCAGAAAGTCCATACCCATTAAAAGGGAGCCGCTGCCGAGCCTGTAGCCCTGTGCTATATCCAATTGCTTGCTACCTTCATTACAGAGCTTTTTGCAAGGATTCAAAGGAGCTTCTTACTATGCATTTTAAGAGTTCTACTGCTCTAGTGCTTGTGAACTACCGAAGCTTATCTTCCTGCAAAACTACCTGTTTAATTTGTTCAATTCTAATGCTGCTGATGTTATTTCTGACTTTTCCTCATCTATTTTTGACCAAGATTAGCGGTCTATAATGTTAACTTAATCCCTTTTCCAGCAAAACCTTGGCACTAATGCCAAATCACTATCAAGGATATGCCTAATTAGCTCTCTTACTTTATTTGAAAAAAAAAATGTAGATCATATAATTAAATTAGCTCTTATTCGTCTTGGACATAGAGCATCTTCAATTCTAAAGGGTATAGCTCTCATTCTCACTCATTTTCGCTTTCCTTTCACGATTCCAATAAAATTCAACTATATCATATTGTCTTTATATTCATTAGACGCAATGGTGTCACCAACAACCCCACATGTTTAATATATGTATACAGATAAGGCAGTGTCATTATGAACTTAGCTTGGCCGGCAAAAGAGCCAAGTTGTCTTAGGCGTCCGTTTCTTGAAAATTTGCTTCGGCTTAACATCTAAAAAGTGACCAGAAGAATCAAACAAAAAACAATAAATTATCTACTTACCCTTGTTCAAAAAGCTTTTAATACTCAAAGTCATAGAACATTCTCTGTAACTTTTGAACCTCCATGTGAAAAAAAAAAAAAAAGGAAACAAAACTATGTAGTCGCCATCGCTATCTATATTGAAGATGACATATTTTGGCACTTCAGTGAAATTCCAGTCCGGACCATGTTGAGCACCTTGATCCATTTGACTGCTGCCGAGAAGATGATTACATGCATCGATAACATCCCAATATGGTCGATCATTGGTTCAGCAGCTTGCATGCTTAGAGTTGACACATCATAGGCCATTATAACTTAAAAGCTTATAATGTACTCGGTAGAAAGACAACGGTGGAAAAAGGGGTGAACATATATTTAATATATCAATGAAGTTGATGGAAATTAAAGGCATCCAACTAACAGGATTTCAGCAACAAGGGTGAAGAAAACTTTTGGGGTTGCTGCAGATCATAGATTAAGAATACTAATTTTTTCAGAAAAAGTGTTTCCTGGAACGTCCTTTTCCATTATGAAAAAACAGTCATTGGTGCTGCTAATCATAATGAAGAATTTTCTACGTTACACTTTCCTTGCACGTCAATTAACTTCCATTGAAGAGTTCCAATTTCGTATGGCCGACATTATTTACTTATTATCTACTTGCAAATCTGGAACCTTCCACAGTTCTTTCCAAATCCAAAACGCTCCAATGCCAACGTATTATGGCAAAACAAAACAAAACCAAACAGGACAGTGGAAGAAGAAGATCGATGTTGATCCACTACGTGTTCGTATCACAAGCTTCCCAATTCGTACATTTCAGTTGATCCACTACGTGTTCGTATCGCCAAGCTTCCCAATTCATACATTTCAATGCTTACGTCACCCACCTTCTATCAAATATAATCCTGACAGCTGCCTTTACGGAACCCACCATGACAACGTTACCGTTAGACCATAGCTCCTAATCTTCAAGCATTTTTTTCTTCTGATTTTTCACATGCAAAAGAGCTTCCCGTACGATCATTAGATTCTTCGTAATCCGACGGCTTATATTTACTTGCATCTTGCGGACCTTCCCGCATTTTATACTCTTGAGCTCGCCTTTAAGTAGTGTCTTTTTCGCTCTCTTTCGTTTAGTGTCCACTGTCTGTCTCTGTTTTCTTTGTGATGGAGGACTCTTTTTCTTCTATTTCTCGATGGCTTCCGCTAATCTTAATTTTCATGAGTCTATTGACCGTACGGGCTCAGCTCCCCGGCACGTGGGAACTCCTCGTCCCAAACGCTGGCATAGCCTCCATGCACACGGCGGTTACTCGTTTCAACACAGTCGTTCTTTTGGACCGGACCAATATCGGGCCATCTCGCAAATTGCTACCCAAAAGCCGCTGCCGTTACGACCCTAACGACGCCGTCCTCAAAAAGGACTGTTTCGCTCATTCCGTTGTTTTCGACCCGCAAACCAACCAAATCCGACCGCTGATGATCCTCACCGACACTTGGTGTTCATCAGGACAGTTCCTCCCTGACGGGACACTTTTACAAGCTGGAGGAGACTTGGACGGGTTTAGAAAGATTCGGAAATTCGAACCTTGTGAATCCGACGGGTTTTGCGATTGGGTGGAGCTGGGAGACGTGGAATTAGTTAATGGCCGATGGTATGCAACGAACCAAATATTACCGGACGGAACTGTAATTATCGTCGGAGGGAGAGGAACGAACACCGTTGAGTATTTTCCGCCGAGTAAAAACAAAAACGGCGCCATCGAACTGAAATTCCTTGCTGACGTTGAAGATAATCAAATGGACAATTTATACCCTTACGTCCACCTTCTTCCCAACGGTCACCTTTTCATCTTCGCCAATAACAAGGCAGTGATGTACGACCACAATGGCAATAATGTAATTCGGGAATACCCAGCATTATCGGGGGGCCCACGGAATTATCCCTCAGCGGGATCGTCGGTGATGTTAGCACTTGAAGGTGATTTTTCAACGGCTGTGATTGTTATCTGCGGTGGAGCCCAATACGGAGCTTTCATCGAGAGGAGTACTGATACCCCAGCGCATGGAAGCTGTGGGCGCATTGTAGCAACTGATCCAAAGCCGGGTTGGGAAATGGAGGATATGCCATTCGGGCGGATCATGGGAGATATGGTGTTGCTTCCCACAGGTGATTCGTTGATCATCAATGGAGCTCAGGCCGGGACCCAAGGTTTCGAGATGGCTTCCAACCCGTGTTTATACCCAGTTCTTTACCGACCCGATCAACCAGTTGGTTTACGGTTTATGACTTTAAACCCGGGAACGGTTCCCAGAATGTACCATTCGACCGCCAACTTGTTACCTGATGGTCGGGTTTTAATAGCGGGTAGTAACCCGCATTATTTTTATAAATTCTCTGCTGAATTTCCAACGGAATTGAGGCTCGAAGCATTTTCCCCAGAGTATTTATCTCCGGATCGGGCCAATATTCGACCCGTAATCGAGGGGATTCCCGAAACGGTACGCTACGGTGAGGCGTTCGATGTTTTCGTATCGGTTTCGTTGCCGGTTGTGGGAATTGTGGAAGTTAATTTTGGGAGCGCGCCTTTTGCCACGCATTCTTTTTCACAGGGCCAGAGGTTGGTCAAACTCACCGTTACGCCATCGGTTCCAGAAAACGGTCGGTACAGAATTAAATGTACGGCGCCGCCAAATGGAGCGGTTGCTCCGCCGGGTTATTATATGGCATTTACTGTTAACCAGGGCGTGCCAAGTGTCGCACGCTGGGTTCACTTGGTTCCTTAAATTGTTTAAACACTTTTTTTTTTAATTTATTGTTGACAAATATTGCGAAAGATTTGCAATTGTATTAATTTTTCCATGTCTTAAAATTTTGTTTTAATATTTAAATATATCCAAGAACATAAGTAAAAGATAAAATTAAACCTTTAAATTTTTATTGCATGCAAAATAAATTTATATATTTTAATTTATATGTAATTATATTATAAATTTTCAATAAAATAATAATGAACTTTTAAAATCAATAAAAAAATCTACTTTGAACAACATTCGTATCCGATAAAATATGTAACAAATAAATTAATCTTTGTTATTTTTTTACAAGTAATAAAAAATAGGTATTTAATTATATTTTTATTAAAATTTAAGAATATATTCAGATATTAAACTTTTTTTTTTCAATTTTCTTAGAAGTAGTACAATAATTTAATGTGCAATTATTGAAAAGAAAACAAAGAGTAAAGTTCACTTGAGAGAAGAGGTGGGCCAAACTAAAAATGGAAGTTCATTAACATATGACAAGTATTTTAATTCAGAAATTTCTCCCTTGTCTCAATCTTTAGAATAGATTTTTAGTTACTTTTTCCTTTCCTTCGTTTTTTTTTGAGTGCATAAAAGCGTGAGTTCTTTCAGTCAAGAAAATGCATGCCCTTTTTATCAATGCTGGACCCTGCTAAGTTCTCTTTTTTGGTAAATGCTGCCTGCATCCTGTAAAGACCCTACCTTCCCAACTTGTTGTTTATGATGGGGCTGGCTGCTGGCCCTTAATAATGCTGTACAAAGGCCACTTTATAGCTTAGGTTAGAGCCTCGGACAAATTGCTTGGATAAAGATTCGCCATTAAAGCTATGTTTGATAGTTATTGAAAAGGACTTGAAGCCAATTTGGCACTGCTGAAACTTTAATGATTATTTCTTTTTTATTTTTTACTAGTATTTTTTCTAGTTTTCAATCTGTCCGCTTAAATCTCATTGTGGGTACTCTTGTATATTTTTTTGTGTTAAAATGCAAATTGTAAGATGATTTACTCTAGAAGCTGAAACGTGCAACAAATTGAGCTTACTAATTTGCTACAATCTCATAATTTTCCTTAATTGAAGACTAAATTGCTCTAAGAAACACTAAACAATAACAGCGATTTCTTATTTATAATGTTATGCCATTGATCCTGCAGCCTCACCATCATCTTCATTGCAATTACTCACAGCCCTGATATGGACATTTTTGTAAGAGTAACGCTTCGCCAGGAACACAAAGACAAATAAGTTGGCTGCGGTTATGATTGCTAACAGCCAGTAGAAATTGTCTAAGCGGCTGCTGTTTAAATCTTTGCCAAACAAGCTCTTCCGTTCTTTCTCTGTAATGCATCAACAAGTGTTATCAGCAGGCTGCTAAGGAAGTTTGCAGCTCCAATCACGCCCAGGTATAATGCAATGCCTAAGCTTCTCATAGAATCAGGAACTTGGTCATAAAAGAACTCTTGCAAGCCAACCAGAGAGAATCCATCTCCTGCACCAATGATGATAAACTGTGGTGCTAACCAGAAAATACTCATGCAGAGGGAGCCATTTACGGGGTCCTTTTTGACAGCAGCTAATCTCTTTCTCTCGACCAAGGCTGCAACTATCATGGTAGCAATTGAGAAAAGCACTCCAATTCCAATTCTCTGGAGGATTTTGATGCCTTTTTCGTTTCCTGTTGATTTCCTTAGTAATCGTACGAGGACTTTTTCATAGATGGTTACGGAGATTATCATGCCAATAGCGGCTAGAGAGTAGATTGAGGCTGGAGGAAGCTGGAAATCGCCAATGTTTCGATTCATAGTGATCCCTTGTTTGATGAAGAATGTGGAAGTTTGCGCTACACAAATTCCAAAGGGTAAGGTAGCTAGCCATATGGGAATCATGTTGAGAACAAGCTTCAGCTCCTCAACCTTGGTCACAGTTGCAAGTCTCCAGGGACTTTGTTTGTCATTTAAGTTTTCCTTGTCCTCAATAATAGCAGCTCTGTCAAGGAACCTGAAACGCACAGCATTAAATAGAAGAGGAGGGTAATGGGAACAAAGTTATGAAAAAAATTACTATTATCAATAGTAATACAACTAGACAAGTTTTCTCTCTTACTTAAGTTTCTTGGTGTGGCACAAAAGCCTCCCCTGAGCCTTATGTGACTTGGGAATTTCATAAAGCTCTGGAGGATTGGATGGGTAAGGCAATTTTCTTTTAGAAATGGCAGCTACAAGAACCTGTAGCATTGGCGTTAAGGGGCTTCCTGATGGCATCCTGTAACGGTAATATGGCCTTCCAATAATGAAGATTAACAGCGACGAAGCCATAACGATAGTCAGAATAATATCTGCAACCCCCCAATTCACATGGTCTTGCACGTAAACAATTACAGTGACACCCAATAAGAGTCCACAGCAAAGGCCAGAGTTCCACCAGTCGAAGAAGGACATCTTCTTTTTTCTTTCTTCTAAGTGATCATCGTCAAACTGGTCAGCTCCAAAGCTCTCCAATGCAGGTTTATGGCCTCCTGTTCCAATGGAGATCAAGTACATGGCAAGGAAGAAGAGCACTTCATGAACCTTCCTAGGCTCATCACACACTTCAGCTTCACATGCCTTTAAGCTTGGCACAAACCAGGACAGTGTCAAGAGAAGCAAGCCCTATTTTTGAATAACAAAGAAGGGACAGTAAGTAAATTTTAAAACAGATATTCTGATGATTGAAAATCGAAGAATTAATCAGAACAGAAACCAGAACCGTGATTGTCTGTCTTGGAGATGAAGTAAAATATCGACCGTCATCCTCAATGGGCTAGGCATGGGCTCAGCTTTTTATGATGTTGTTGTAAAAATAAGTTAGTCCTCAATCATATCCAATTACAATTGGGGTTTCAAACAGTGCTATTCAAAGGGATGCCATATATTAGCCCAAAATGTAATAAAAAACCAGGTCATTCTTGGCCCAAAAACTAAGTTTGGGCTTAAATTTTAACTTCATGTAATGTTTTTTTTTGCTCCAAAAAAAAAAAATGGTAGCTTTGAAGTTAAATATATTATTATTGTTGTTTTAAAGGACAAAAGAAAATAAAACAATATTGATTTCAGAGTGGAATGTAATGCAATTGTGAATGGGATTTACCAAAAGGTAGACGATGGATGAAACAAGAACGGTATGGAATCGGCCCCAGTAAGCATCAGCAACGAACCCTCCAAATAGTGGCATCAGCGTAGTGACCCCAGACGAGTAGTTGACGCTCCTTGCTGCTGTCTTGAGGTCTTGGCGAATCACTGTAGTCAGGTATATGGCCAAACTTGTTGCCATCCCAAAGTAACTCAACCTTTCACTGAACTCGATTGCTGCCCAAGATTCAAACAATCAAAATGAAAACATAACCTATTATTATATGAAAGGACCATATTCAAAAACAATGACATTGTTTAGTTCAGTTGATTGATCAATCAGGGAAGATATTGGTTATTATGTCGTTCAATAAATCAAGAATAGTAATCTTGATTTGGGTTGAAATCCGAGTGCAAAGCAGTGTCTTGTACAGAACAAAAACTAATTGTGATGAAGACCATTCGACAATCGGAACATGCATTTATCCTGGCGCCCTCTCAGCTTGATATGACTTGTGCTGTTTTTGTGGACTTTTGGCATTTGTTTCTGTTGTTGCACTTTTGACACCAAAAGCAGTAGGGCCTTTTATAATAATTGAAGGTTTTGTGACTATGGGTAGACAAGAATATATAAATCGACCTAAGAATATCATCGAAATTGTCGATTTATACATGTCATGAGTGAAGAATCAATTGTCAAATGTCACTATGCTTACAAATGAAAAAGAATAACACAATCCAATCCAAACCCAAAATTGTGAAATGTCAAATTCATGAAGGCAGTTCAGAACAGGAAACCCATTTGCATAAAGGATTTGGCTGCAGCAGCAAGTCAAGAAACGTGGTACGAGCTTTTCTTAGCTTCAGTGGTAAGCAGAATATACACTAGAATTGGCAGCATTCATTTGTTCAGTGCAGCAGGCCCCCACCTTCCACCTTATACTTTTATATGGCATTTTAGACTATTTCCATAAGCTGTTGTATGGCTAACTTTTTCCAATTTGAAACTTGCAAAAATATTCTTATTTATAATAATAAGGACCACTTGGATGAGAGTCATGTGAAACTTTCTTTCTAGCACTAATACTCTAAATATAAATAATGGTTTATATATTTTGTTTCATATTCCACGTATCCACCCTAGCCACTAGCATATACCTAAATTTGAACATATATCTCTTATTTCATCAAGGAAAGAATTATGTGATCATTGGCAATAACAGTTCCTATGTCATAATTTATGCTTTATATATCATGCAGATTCTCTAATCTTTACCCATTACTGTTGATCAATAATTTGTTTGAAAACTTCTTAACTAGAATATGAATTATAAGAATGTTGAATTGTATGTAAATGGTACAACATATATACTACAAGAAATGGACTTTTTTCCTAAAAAAGCAATATTCATACAACTTCTCACATTAGCATTGGATTTCCTCTTCCATTTGTTTTTCTTTTCACATTTCTTGCTTGCCATGCTTTTTTATGATGTTTTACGAGAATAAATGAAATATAATAAATTGTGTCATAACGTCTAGATCCGGAGATCTATCGTTAGACATTGACTTAAGGGAGTCATAACCAATCTTTTTTATCTAGATGCGATTGACCACCTAAGGAATCTATCATTTCAGGGAACACCTAAGTTTAAGGGTCTTTAAAAGAATAGGTTCAGATCTACTAATCAAAACAGGGTTCGGGAGTTCGGTTACGTGTGAAGAAGGTTATAGCACCTTCACAACGTCCATCAAAAGATGGTACCAGCATAATTTTGTGTTATCCAATAAGCCTTAAAATTTTATCAAGTAATTAATTATTAGAAATTATTCTCAATTGACTCTAATACTTTTAGCAGAAAATTGAGAAAATTCCCTCACCTCAGGAGTATGTAAGAAAACTACTGTTTTACTTGCAGAGGCTCCATCGTCGGATTATTTAACATTAAAAAAATAAAAAGGAAAAAAAGAATAATTGTTTTTTTTTTTTGCAGGAAAA